CAAAAAATGCTAAAATATTAGATAAACAAGCAAAGAATCGAGTTTTTTTACCTCTGCTGTAGGTACCTCTTTAACCACATACAAGATGTGACATACACACACAGGGAGGCGATGAAAAAAAAAAGAGGAAGGAAAACAAAAAAATAATAATTTTTTTTTTTTTTCCTATTAAAGAGACTGTTCCAATAAATCAGTGTACTTACAAAACATTAGGTGCTGCCACTGCTGGTAACATTCTAGGAACGAGGCTTCGAGAAGGCCCTTAGGAGATTTTCCGTTTTCGCTTGAACATCTTTAGCTAAAGTAAAATGGGTTGCCTTTATGCCAGATTTATGGCAAATAAAGAAAAGTTATATGGAGCCAAATCTAGTGAATTAGGTGGATGCTCCATCCCAGTAATATTTTTGCTAGTCAGAAACTGCTTGAAGGATAGGGCATCGCAAGCAGGTGTAGTCTCATAGTACAACAACTATCCATCACTCCACAACTCTCACCTTTTGGAGCTGAGTAACAGTGTTACCACTTGGAACCCAGTTAATCATTAGAATTCCTTTGACGTCGAAGAAGACAATCAACATTGCCTTGAATTTTGATTTTCACATGCATGCTTTTTTGGGTCTTGGGGATCGTGGACACTTCCACTGCATTGATTGGCACTTACTTCTAGGATCATATGTAAAAATACGTTTCATCATGTTACAACTGATTCCAACAAATTTGGATCGTTTCTAATGTGTTCTACGCATGTCCACACACAAATCTTTACGACACTGTTTTTGGTCATCGGACAGAACTTTTGGAACATCCTTGATAAAAATCTTCCTCAAATGTAATTCCTCAGTTAAAATGCATTGAACAGTTTCCATATTCAAGTTAATCAACTCTGCCACTTCACGAACACTTTGGCCACCCCTGATCACCTCACGAACTTGGGCAATATTTTGTTCTGTAATCGCTGACTTCAGAACGCTCAGAATGTTCATTATCTTCTACACTTCTCTCCGAAAACAATGTATGTCATTTGAGGACACGTGCCCGAGACAAAGTTTCATCTCTAATCTGTCTGCAGTTTTTGTAACAATTTGTCCTTGTAATTGTCTAATGTCCTGTTCTTGCCAAATTTTGTAGGATATTTCCTTCCCTTTTTACCACTTCCTATCAATGTGTAACAGAAAAATACATCCGGCTAACATCGAAGGATTCGGAGTTCAAATCCCGGCGAAGACACTGCACAATTTTCACATCTCTTTTTCGAAATACTTCATAAATCTACAACTTAAAATTATAAATCTTCATCTATTATCTTCCTTAGTATTATTATCCCCCTCACTTTCAAGCACATTCTGTCATAAGCAATTGTTCTAATAAAATGTTTTTACCTTTCACTGAATTATAAAATTAGTTTATCTTAAAAATGCATAAAAGCACATAAAACAAAAATGCCCTAAGATTTGAATTTCAATGCCATATTCAAAGTTCATTTGCCCCCTCTTTTCGTATTCACTGATGCCAATGATTTTAAGTTACGGAGTGCCTATGGTTCAAAAGTATTCACTGAATTATATACTTGACTGCTATCTTGAGACTTAATATCAGACTTTTTTCCAAGTGCTTAATTAATGTTTCTGATCTCTAGAGCCATCAATTTGAAAAACCTAAGGGTTTTACTGTTCCAAGCACTCCAAAAATACCTCAATGTGTCAGGGAATATGTTTTTTGATAATTTTTAGAACACCTTAAATGCCATATTTATTAAACAGTACTTTTAATTTGCATTTCTTTCCAGGTAATAATCTTAAATTGTTTATAGTCATAATGGAAAATATTAAATGCTGGAACAGTTTTATATGATTTTTACATATGAAAATATGAGGGCACATGCTTTTGTAATTCTTATCAAACAAGAAGTTGAAGATGGGAAGATCAATCTAACACAAGAACAAAACACACAAGATATTTATATAAATCTTATGAGTTGCATTTACATAAAGAAGAATAATTTAATAAATACCCTATAAAATGAACTATTGGACATAAAAAAATACTTTTTTTCTTTATTTGTATTACTGCTTGTATTAAATAAAACACATCAGCTTTCAAGGTTTAAATGCAAATGGCAGAATGCATTATAACTTTACCATGTTCTGTTTTGTTCACATCACGAGCACAGCCAAAAAACCTAGAATAATATTTGATAACTTTTAAAATAAACAAAAATTATACCTTCTTACAAATTTCGTTACTACATATTTGTAAAATTTTACTTTGGCTTTCCCCTACAATGAAGTAATATGTGCAGCATTTTTGCAGGGGCCCTTTTTATAAGAATTTCCATGAAACAAATTAGCAAATAATTTATAATGTATCAAATTTAGCAAATATTTAACAAATTTTATAGAATTTTCATTATTCTTTTGTTACAAGATATTTTATGATACCTGCACTACTGCCACCAAAGAACTTTATCGCTTTGTTCGATATTATATATTAATAAATAAAAGTATAATGGCTAAGTACGTTTTCATTTCTCTGGTTTATTTATTTATTTTACAGTTAATTTCTCTTTCAGATTTTTCGTCTCTCTTAAAGTTAATGGTAAATTTCCATAGTTTACCTTCTGTGAGAATGTAAGGAATTTTATTTTTTACCCTTCCTTAGTGCCTGCTTGGACTTCTGAATAATAGTCTGAAGCTCCAGTTTCAATCCCCGTGAGGACATTACTGATTTTCACATTTTCTGCTTTCAAAATCCTAAGTAATTCTGCAAGACTTTATGTCTCATAGGAGATGTAAAAAGTGTGCAACAAAATGTAAAAATATAATTTTCACTTAAAAAAAAAAAAAAAAAAAAAACTATATTCTAAATATTGGCTTTGCATTCCCACCAACCTGTATACAAAGATAATGGAGATAACGTTTTTGGCCCAAAACTCCTCAGCAAGTTTTCAATGAATAAGCCCGAATTAGGATTCCACAATACATTTTTACTCTTTTCAGAATGCTATATGTATGCGTGTGATGAATTTTTATCCACGATAACCTTTACATGGAATTTTCAAAAATTTCCATTTTCCATATTTAACCTAAAAAATTCCATTTTTCGTATTTAGGCTTTCTACATTAGTATAAAGAGTTGATCAGATTTTGGGTAAAACTGAACAACCAGAACTGGTATTTTACACAAAGCCAATAACAGTCGTTAAACTAGAAGTGGTACTCTACTTGAAGCCAATAATAGATTTTTTGAGGTTATATAAAAATATAACCTCAAACTTCTCAATTTTAGTACTATTTATGACTCCTATTTCAACGAGAACAACATGCTAGATTTTGGCTAAAATCGATCAGTGGAGTAGTGAGCATAACTGGTGCCCGGGCAAAATACCTTTCTGGCACCCCCCCCAAAAAAAACATCCAGTGATATGATGAAAATCTTGTTCGGAGATCATTTGGCGTCCCTCTGAGAAAGGCGCTCGGGCCATCATGCACCCCCTCACTATGCCACTGAAGTCAATAAACTGGAAGTGATACTTCACTTGAAGCTCTGAACAGATTTTGATTTTGTTTGTCTCAAATGACTTTTCAAGTAACTATGCTGTCACCACATGTTATTACTATGTATTATTTTTAAATAAATATTATAGCAAATATAAAAACACATGTATGGCAACACCCAGTACTCTATTGAGAATTCCTTATTTACAGTTTCTCCATAACAAATTCTAACTACAAACACGTTGATTTGGTTTCATTGATATGTGTGTTTCAGGTAACTCATTTTTATCTGTGATTGTTGTAACTGATTTTAGACAGATGCACTTCTTACTTTCTTGACAAATTTAAGTATACAAAATTATTTTTAATTAGAAGCACCCACCAGTGGTTGGATGAACACTAGTAGTTGAACAGAAATTCATATTACAGTAGAGATGTTGGCTCTATAGGATTCTTGTGATTATTTTCATGGGAATCAATTTCGCTCTCAAACAATTTCGCTCTATTTTTTTTTTCTGACTTCACATTGAAAACTTTGAAAACTGAACAATTTGTTTTTTATTCCATTTATTAATTTTATATTAAGATTTAATAACTGTGCACTAAGTTTATAAATCTGTATTTTTATGAAATTAAATGTGGATTAAAATAAATTAAATGTGCATGGAATTAAAATACAATATAAATTACCAAATTTTGAGTACGAAGACCATCTATGATTCAGGAGATTTTGACTTTCTGACAGGATGGCTGCCTTACATTTTGCCACCTGGACCTTTGCAGGTTCTAAATTCTGCTGCCTGACACCTCACTAAATTTTAAAAATTTTGCCATCCTTAAATACTGCTGCAGTGCCTTATTTAAATTCTAAAATATCGCTATTCCCAAATTTTGTGGATCATTACTTCTCTAAATTCTAAAAATTTTGCCATCGTGCACGACAACAACAGTTGCACCGGTTCTGCTGTTTTAGATAGGCAGTATTTATTTACACTTTCAGAAACGTTGGTTATTTTCAAATATGGTCATCTACAGCAGGGGTTCCCTACCAGGGGGAACCGGCTTTCCTAACCTGTGGGAATTCTGAGTTTAAGCCATAGTCTCAGTAAACGAGAAGGTAAACAAATCTGTTTCTTTAGAAAGGAATTTGTCTCTTTCTCTGTTACTTCAAATAAACTAGTAATTTAACATATCTACAAACTAATTGTATACATCATAATAACAATTATGTTTTTGAGAGAGCTCATATTTTGAAAACCAGCATTTTAAAATAGTGTTTTTCTAAATCTTCTGTCTAAAATCCATGCAATTATAAAATTAGCTTTATCTAGTATTTTGTACCTTCACAAAACAGATTAATATTACTTTGAATTTAATAATATTTAATATTTAAAATATTAGTTAATAAAAGTATAATGGGCTAATGTATAAATATTAGTAAAATCTCAGAATAATGGTTTTTTAAAAAACTTTGCATTAATTCATAAAGGAAAGAAAAGAAAAAGATAAAGTCCAGCATTTTTATTTAAAAAAACCTTAATAACAGTTATAACAATAGAAGCACATGAAAATGGACTATATAAAATATTATACATCAAGTTCCAAAAGTTTTAAATCTCTTTGTCAAGTATACTCACACCTGAAAAACAAAATAAATAAATTAAATTAAATTTTCAAAACTTTAAAATTACTACAGAATTTTTACACATTTCTGCACATGGAAATTAAGTACTTTTAAGGACCATTAATGAAAAAAATTAGGGATCCATAACAAATGGAAACTGAATAAATTTAATTAAAGATATTAGCTATGCCTGAACTTCATTTCTGTAATACCATCCTAAGAATAAAACAGATCCACAAGTAGAATGCATTATTATTAAACATAATTTAATAAACATAGTTATAAAACACATTTCAAAATAAAATCAACTTATTTATCAACTTATTTAGCAGCATTAAATATTTTACACTTATAATAGTTGGACATATTGGAAAGGAAGTTACTGACATTTTACTAAAAGTTAGCTTAATGCTGATTTTTTTTCTTTTGTCTCATTTTGTCATATACTTGCTCAGTTTAGAAATTTAGTAAATAGCAGGTAGATTTTATGTCAAATAGCACAGGTTAAAATGAGAAGTACAATTACAATCAGCATGATTCGTAACAGAAGACTGGCTGTTGCCATCACTATTTCTTGCCTAGATAGAGACCTACTGATTAGAACAAACCTGAAAGCCGATGTAGGCACAGTTGGAAAGTTTTGAAAATTAGTTGTGTTCTGCCTGTCTGACACAGCTGGCGTCATAGCTTCGTGTAGAGTTCCTGGGGTTATAACCCAGTTAATATATTTTAAGGTTCCAATAAGTCACTAAAGCACCAGAGGTGATAAGTTGTTTTGTATTATTTTATGTCTCACTAGGTACAAAGAATAAGTTTTACATTAATTTGCTGTGTCTTGTGATCATGGTAAGGATTAATGAAAGGCAATAACTCACTTTAACATGCAGAGATAATTTTTAAGGGTGAACAGTTAGTTACAAATAATTAAATTAGTTAGTTAGATACACTTAGTCATTATAGATTTACATGGTCACCATTAAATTTACTTTTTAAAAATATTGGTTAAAAATGCACTGTCAAAATCACAATCTATTAACATGTAACAGTTTAAAATACATGTAATTTATGACATTGATTCTTAAACGATATTAGGATAACTACACATTAAAAGCTACAAAATATTTACATTTTGCATCTTTTTTAATTTGAAGCCTTTTCAGACATTCTGGCTAACTTATATCAATTTTCTTCTCTTTAAGCATCTTTTTTAACAATTAGAAATATGTTTCAATATGAAAATCAATATTCCCACTAGTTTTTACATGTCTGATTTCCTAGTCTATCTCTCGACTATAGTATACCTGTGAGGTTTTACATCATCTGATAAAAGTTATATATTTCCAAACCCCTGACAGATGTGAAGTAAACTATCACTGTGTCTGAAAGTAACTACAAAGTCAGATGAAGGTTTAAATAAACCTCTTATTTAGAAAGAACTTAGATCATAAAGGCATGTTCTTATGTGAGCAAAATCAACTAAACTTGTTGTGATCTAATTACACTGGAACAGTCAAATTCAAACTAAAAATGTGAACTAGTAGTCAAAGAGAATACAATTTAATTTTAATCTAATCTGGTTCAGTAATATGTTGTAGCAATTCATCATAACAAATTCAAATGTCAGCAGTAATAATGAAAAGGCAAATTATTATAAATTATCAGAGCTGGTAGGAACTAATACAGCATGCAAGTGGTAGCTAGAAACAAATTAAATTAAATTGCAACCCCAAAACTTTAATTTAAAATCTATCTAAGTGATTTGTATTCTGGTGAGAAAATGGAAATGGGAATTATAAACAACTGCTTAATTTACGTAATAATAACTGCACATATCTTTGAAGAATAATTTTCTTTCTTTTAGTGAATTCAGTTTCTTTCTTAAACACGTTTCCATTTTATTTTAGAATTTTTGGATTTAATTAAAGCTTTATGGTATTAAGTAAGAACTTCACCACAAACTTTCTGTAAAATACACTCTTTTGCAAAAAAATTGAAACGCCAAGAAGGACTTTTGCGATCATGAAGAAATTTAGTATACAAAAACATCTTGATCGAACATGCAAATAATCAAAGTTTCAAGACTAATGAACAGGAACTGCGATCATAACGCACATCTCTAGTGCGCAATTTGCAAAGAATAAAACAGAGGCAGAAAATTTATCTTTCTTGTTGCTGCGATTGTAATTCCTTAAAGAAGCAAGTAAAGATGCTATTACAACAATATCAAAGACCTTACAGACAACTAAACCACTTCAAACGAGGTCACATTGTAGGGTTGCATGAAGCTGGGTAGTCATACCAAGCAATAGGCCGCCACCTGCAGCGTACAGACACTGCTGTGCAAAGATGTTGGCAGCAATGGTTGGTACAAGGAAACTGCCGATGAAATGAAGGCTCTGGAAGGCCAACGTACTACAGCTTTGTCTATATGCCCTGTGGTTCCGTCCACCATCTCACGGTGCTTGTCTGATGCGGGGTTATGCTCACAGAGGACTTAAAGACGTTTGCCTTTGACACCACAATATTGGTGGAGTCGTCTGGAGTGGTGTCGCAGCCGATCATCATGGCTGCCATCAGACTGGCATCGTATATTGTTCAGCGATGAATCCCGCTTCTCTCTTGAAGCAGATGACCACCGTGTTCGTGTCTGGAGAGGATGGTGCCAGCGATCCCAATCAGCCTTTGTTTTACAAAAGCATACAGCCATAGCTCCTGATGTGATGGTGTGGGGCGCTATTTCTTATGACAGCGTCATTATTCACAACATAAAAAAGGTAGATGAATTTTGTAAAGAAAATGATTTACGTTCTTGTTCTTATCAAACTATATGATAAATTATTTTTCTTCTTTCAGTTTATGAATTTAGTAGTTTTGAATAAAGATTATTTTTCTTTCATAACAACATTTTTATTTCCATCTTTTTAATGTCAATGGCACATTACAGTCAAAAGTCGTTAATTCGGACACCCATAATCCGGAATGATCTATAATCCGGACCTCAAAGCTAAAAACTTTCTGCGCATGCGCTGCGTTGGCACATGCGCACAGGCGTTTTACGCGTGCGCGTAAGACCTTGACTACTGCGCATATGCGTGTGCGCAAGTGCAGAATACGTTTTCGCCTGCGTGTTTAATGTATAACGGACGGTGTAAGCTAAAATTATCTAATTATATATTTCAGTTAATGTTAATGATTGCATTGTTCCTTAAACTTCGAATTGGATCCTGCTTACTATTTTTTGCAGACTGTAAGAGCAATTTTATAAAAGTAAACTTGAACGTTCGATTATGTCAAATAGAATTTCCGATGCTGGAACTTCCAAAGGATCTACAAAACGAAAGTATGTTTCGATGTCCAACAAACAAAAAGTGGAATTGCTGCAAAAAATGGATAAAGACATGAAGAATGTGACAGAGAGGTTAGTGAAAACGAAAAAATTTCGATTGACAAGTTAGTCGGTATTCTCGGCACAGCAATTAACGGGACTTGAACAGCGGAACTTTGTAACTGAACAAGAAATTATGTCTGTTTATAGAATTAAAGAGAAAGTATTATCACATAAAACAAAGCAATTTAAACAACTTACATTGAAAGAAATGTTTAATAAAGTAAACAAATAAATATTAAGCTTTTTTTTTTGTAAATTTTGATACCCTTTAGATCATAATTGCTCAATATTTTATAAATTACGGTTTCATATTTTTAATTTTAGAACTGCATGCCATCTTACCAGATTTAAACTGATGATCTATAATCCGAAAAAATTGATAATCCGGAATCGCCGAAGTCTCGACGAGTCCGGATTAACGACTTTTGACTGTATTAATAAAATTATTCAATTGAAAACTCATTTTCCAACAAAGAATGATTGCTTTAGTTTGTTCAAAATGCAAAAAATGATGTCAACATTAAATTAAAAAAAAATCTAAATCAATTTCTCAAAAAATCACTTCACCATACAGTATAGTCATTCGCAATAGAAAATATAAACTGAAAAAAATTAAAAATGATTTGATAGATTTCATCATGGATAATTTTAAATGCTAATCAGTCCTGTTGAGTTTCAGAAAATGAAATAAATTGTAAATGCTAAATTTTTCTATTAAAAAAGGGGGAAGATACAGCATTTATAAATGGCAGAAGACTTCTATAGTAAGCTTAATTTCTTTGCAGCAGAGAGAATGGGATATATTAATAAATAAAATCAACTTTAGAAGAACTTTATAAAGAAGGGGAAGAAAAAGCATAACATGGTGATATCATAACCTTAAAATTAGAGAACCAATACTTTCCCATTTTTCATATAGTAGCATGCTTTATTAAAAAAATACCTAATTAATGTCTTTTTATTATTTTTTGTTTCAGAAGAAAGCAAAGTATTTGTTTTATGATCCGTAAAAATTTCACAACTTTGTAATTAACACATATTTAGTTGCTGAAATTTTAAATGTCAAACAGAAAAAATTGAGCGATTTTTAGAAATTTGCATGAAAAATGAGAAAGACTTTAAATGTTTTATTTACAAAATACTTTCCTCCTCTTTTTGGTGCAAACAGCTAGTTTCTGAGATCTTAAATTTGTTCATTAAATAAAAGTATATATAAAAAATCATTTTAACATTAAATTTTTAAAAATTTAAATAACATTTTCAAAAAATTGCTCTACCACAGAGCATCGTCATCCAAAAACAGTATGTGTATATAATATGAACTCAATAGCTCATCAGGAATAGTTTAAAAATAAATGACAATTTTTTTAATAGAGTGACAAACACCATAAGTGATTAATTTAGTTTAGAAGTCAAACAACAAAATTCAATGTTATATTTGCAAATTTTCATAGGATTAGTTTCAATAGTTTCACCAAAGCATCTTCTTCAGCTGCCAAAGTGCGAATGACACATTTACATTTTGGCAAGTGACATCTGCACTTTGGCAGCTTAGGCTGATGCTTCGGTAAAACCATCGAAACTAATCCTGTGAAAATTTGCAAATATAATGCTGATTTTTGTTGTTTAACTTCTAAATTAATATTTGTTCAGCGTGTTATTTTAACTTAACCATAAGTGATCTAACAAAATGTTTTATAAAATGTTCATGTTAATTTTCTTTAGGTGATATCCTGAATGTTGATTCATCATTTTTCAAAGTATTAAAGTACATCTGATTGCAGTGCAAATTCAGTTTTTTCTCCTTGGAAGAAATTCTACAATAGAGTGGTTCTCAAACTAAGGGTCATATACCCATTAAGTTTGCTACATGCTGATTTTTGTAAAACGTTTTCAAAATGCATCCGTTAATAACAAATATTTAATTAAATATATATATAAAAAATAAAAATATGCACATAAATATACTTGTAAATGCTTTTACTAATAAAAGTTTTTAAAACATTAAAAAATATGCATATGACTTTGACACTATAAATCACACTCATATATTTTTTATTTTAATGTTAATAGATGTTGCCACATTTCCCGTTCTACATTTACTTTATTCTCTAGACTCAGCCAAACTTAGTAAGTAGAATGGAAGGCAGTGTGTCATTAGGAAATTTATTAAAATTATTTATGATTATGAATAAATGGTTGGACATAAAAAGCAATTCATTGTGAATTTTTAATTCCATTATAAGGCAAGAAAAGTGAAATATTTTACATGTTTTTATCATCCTGAGTACATGCTCCATAAATCTTAAATTGCTCTTTAAAGTATTCTCGCTCCTGAAAAATAAAAAAGATAAATTAATTTTTGACAACTTTTAAATTACCATTTCATATTTCAAAAGTTTTACCAATTGTACTATGCAACTTATACCTTTTCTATCCTGAGACACGTTTATTCTCCATACAAGTGTTGCCAAAAATTAGATATGCCTCAGAATATCAGATACTTTGAAACTGATATTTGAAATAATTTTTCTAAAATAGTAATTTAAAAGACATAATGCCGCTAAAACATAGAACCTGATTATTAAAATAATAACTGCTATTTTCATTTCTTTTATTTTCTTAGAATCAAAGTGTATTTTCCTGGTAGTAGTAGTGAAATTAAGAAACAGGTCTCAGGAAAGAAAAAAAATATGATACAGCAAATTTGTACCTTCCTTTTTATGAGATAATATAAGAAATGAAAAACTAAAATGCATGAAAGAAATACTAAATGAGATATATTCCCATACAAAACTTTTTGAATTTTATTAAAGTGTTGCATACCAATAAAAAGAGGTGCCAGAAAAATGAAGCATGATAATGATATGAAATAAGTTACAAACGGGAGGGGGGGGACTTGATATATAACAAAAAAACATATTCATAGCTGTAACCAAAATATAGTTAACACACACATTTGATATGCTAAATAGCAGCTATTAGCGTTATTTATCACTTACCTATTGTACTTACTATATATATTATCTCCACCTTTTATTTTTATTTTTTTAATTTTTAAGTTTAAAAGTTTTTCTATGGATTCACTCTTTTCAGATCATTCTACTATAATTAATCTTAGGAGATAATATAATCAATATTAGTTAGTAAATAAATTATTATTAACTTACTTTGCAGCAATTGTGCAAGTAGTAGAATAACTTAATTTCTCACTAAATGAATTTAAGATCATACAACATATATATATGAAATGTAATTTCTCATACATTATTTGTTTTGTGCAGCCGGGGCAACAGGAATGAGACAAATTTTGGAATATAAAGTGGTAGGTTTATTTTAGCATCCATCTCACAAGCGTTCTCCTCGTACCTCGAGCAGAAGCCCAATTTATACATATGTGTACGTCACGAAGTTCCTCCAATCAGCGATATTAATTGAAATCACGAGGTGACGCTATCTTCTCATCAGGAGTGTTCTTAAGTACTTTATGTAATATGACAGATTTATGAGTTTGGCGATTTGGCGGGCGCCAACAGGTTAATATATTTTATACTAAAGAAAGGATTTCGCCAAAATTTAGGAACAGGGATGCAATTTAGGTAGAGAATCGCCATCACATTATTAAGCAATATTATTAGAATTTAATTTAATCAATTAATTTAAAAATATCATTACATATATATATCTCATAAAATTTATTTCATTAGGTAAATTATACAGCATGTGATATATATATATATGAACTATTTTACTATATATTAATGGTTAAATACATTATTTTCATATTCCAAGAATTAAAATGCACAAAAGCAGCAATGCTGTGAATAAATGTTCAGACATAAATGCTATAAAAATGCATAGCTTAAGAGAACATTTTTATTATTGAAAGTATACATAATAATTATGTGTGACATGTCTTCTGTTAAGACAGAAGAGAAACATGCCTCAAATAAATCATAAAAGTGAAGCAACAACCTGTGTTAGGCATAGATTTTTAGCATAGAAACTCAATTTAAAGGGCGAACAACGTCCCTCTTCACCAGGAGCAAAAAAATCTACAACTGAAAAACCAAGTTACAAATATATTTTGGGTATGAATTGGCAGCCCAATGCAGGACTCAGATGATTTTCTTGGTTGAGAACACCCCGTGTTTAAGACTCCAAGACATAACTCATTTCCTTTTCTGGGTTTTTAGAATTAGTACTTTTACCGATGATGTCTTCACCCAAAGAAAACAGGTAAGTCCTTCAAGCTTTGTAAAATGTTATTTTGTTTTTGAAGTAATTTCAGATTAATGCTTTCATTTGACGATATTTTCTGCAAATATTAGGTAACTGCCAAAAGTAATTAAGAAATAAACAAATATTCTGAATAAAATTTCTGAACATTTAATTTTTTTTTCTTCTAACAAACAATGAACTTTTCAACAGACATCAAAAACAGTGTTTATGAAACTAGCTAGGAGAGAAGATCTACAAGTGTTAGCCACAGATAATCTGAATCATGGCTCAGATAATCTAAAAATGATTCAACTCAAAGAGTTAATCATAAACTCAGGACCATGAAATGTATGAAGGAGAATTTGTGAAGAATGTATTGAAGATTAACAAATCAAAGAGGTGTGTCTTTTCGAGTTGGAAAAATTAAAACTTCAACTGGAGTTACAGAAAAATTTCTAAAAAACAGGCGACAGGTAAAGAAATACATCAACCCAAAATAGACAGAGTTGTCCCTAATTTTAACTCTAAAGAAGATGAAATTGGATTGTATTTGAAAATTTTTGAACACCAATTAAAATTTTTAATTTCAGAATCAAAATACATTTTTTTTATCTTATCAGTCTTCTATTATAATACCAACACAGATGCCTTAAATGTAATGCTAGTTTTAAAATAGAAGAATAAAATAAATAAAATTTTAAAATAGAAAAGAAGCTAACAATGCTTAGAAATGGTGCTTTGGTTACAGAAGTCAGAACTGTTGCATAGTTGAAAAGTTCTGTGAGGAGACGGACAATATTCATATAACACGATCATCGATTATAACAGAAAACAAACTCATCCACCACATAAATTCATTAAAAATAAATTTATTTAAATCTAAAGAAAGTACTTTTCATTTTGATTTTTTAGAATTTGTGGAAAATAATAAAAGAATAAATTTATTAAAAGAAATTTGCAATTTTTTGGAGGGGGGAACAAAATATTTTTTGAAATTATTGTTTGAAAAAGTAATTATCTAAAAAAAATTAAATTGATGTTTTTAAACACAGTTATTCATTTGATTTAGATGTTTTTCACGGCTTATAAGCAGTCAAATATCAGGTACATAGCAAAAAATTTTTGTTTTCAAAGTAGGTTTCAAAGCAGAAAAGATTCAGAAACATGGCTTTAGGAGCATGTTTACATCTTTTATGTTGCTCTTCTTTTACTTCTAAATCATAATACAATTTTGCTCTATCCATGGGTTATTATTATATGGTTTTTGAGGCTAGATGGTATTAAAAAAATTACATTATTAGAAGACCATTATAAAAGGCCAGACATTGGAAATTGTAGCAGACATCAAATGTAATACAAACATGGGTTAACTATATTTAATATATTAGAAAGAATTCCTTTTAGAACCTTTCAGAAAAACTGCATATATTTACATATGGAAAGCATCCAAAAATGTGCTGAACCAAAACAAGTTTCAGAAAATTTCAATTAATCCATAAGTTCATCCATTTCATCACCAGTAAATTCAGCCTCAAATGAACGAATTGTAAACTTTACATATATTTTGAATAAATCCATAATAATTAAAATTAATAATTCCTGCTATTTTAAAAATTATTATGTTTCATTTTACTAATTTTATTTCACTACTAGACTTGAAATTACCATACTTTCATTAATAAAAATAAAATAAAAAAGAGCCAATACATACATCAGCACCTTTATACATGAAACTATTTTATCTATAGTGTTGGATAATATAAATCAACTTACCTTCTCTGTTATAGAAGGTTTTACAATTTTAAATGCATGTTCAAAATGAGACATTTTAAGTTCTACAATGTCTTCATGTGAGGATGAGCTTTTATATTCCTCCAATGCTTTAGCACCTGCAGCAATTACAAGAGATTCAAGGTCAGCACCACTAAACAAAAAGAAAGTCAGTTACACATTTATAAGAAAGGAGGGGGGAACCAATGAGTACACAGGTGAATTTATTTTTAATGATATAAGCAGATGGAATCTACATACCTGAAATTTTCACAACGAGGATCTAAACTAAGTGTTTTTAAATCAACTTCATCAGCAATTTTAGGCTTGGTTTTATTCTGTTCAAAAAGAAAAAAAATACACTTAGCTTCCTCAAACAATTTAAAAAAATTAAAATGAGAAAAATAATTAAATGCAAACATACTTTTTTTGAAAAATTTGTAATTTAATCATAAATCAATAATTTTATATAAATACATGTCACTATGAGTTCAAAAATGGCATACAAGATTTTTAATCAAATATAAAACACAAAATACTGTAGCTGAAAAGCTTTGTTTTAATATTCAAAATGTTATTTTTCAGTGTTTAAATAAATTCCCAAATACACTAAACTACAGCATTAAAATTAAAGACTAGAAGTTGCAAACTATTTCTGTCAATAACTTAAAAAACTTTTTATACTAATACAGTCAAAAGTCTTTAATCCGGACTCGTCGGGACTTTGGTGATTCCGGATTATAGATCATCAATTTAAATCTGGTAAGATGGCATGCAGAAATTATAAAATTAAAAATATGAAACTGTAATTTATGAAATAAAGAGCAATTATGATCAAGAGGGTATCAAAATTTACAACAAAAAAGCTTAATATTTATTTGTTTACTTTATTAAACATTTCTTTCAATGTGCGCTGTATTCGTGATATGAAATGAAGAGGAATTTGATTTAAATCATATCAAAGACGGAGTACATCGAGATTAAATACTATATTTAGTAAGGAATTATAAGCCGAATAAAATAACAACATCTGCCCTGAAGATGAAGATAGTGCTGACAGATCAACTTTCCAGTTCATTGCGTGCTGCGACATCGCCCCCCCCTCCCGCGCTGATCAGCGTGAAATTGATAACCAGATTTCGGAATGGTTAGAGAAACAAAGGATATGCCTTTATCCATTTTTTGTTTGATGGACATCGAAACTTTGTAGATCCTTTGGCAGCTCCAGAATCGGAAATTCTTTTTGATATAATCGAAAGTTCAAGCTTAGTTTTATAAAACAGTGTGCAAAAAATAATAAGCCGGATCCAATTAAAAGAGTAAGTAACAATGCAATCTGCAACATTAACTGAAATAGATAATTTTAGCTTAGCTTATACCGTCCATTATACATTAAGCGTGCAAGTGTAAACACATTACGCGCATGCGTAAAGGTATTATGCACATGCGTAAACGCATGCGCAGAAAGTTTGTAGCTTTGAGGTCCAGATTATAGCTCATTCTGGATTAAAGACTTTTGACTGTATATGAATAACGTAATTACAATGAACTGCAATTTTTATTGTTTGACAAAAAAAAAAAAAAATTAAGTGGAAATGTGCATTTTTCATGTCATCTATCCTGCATGTGTATACATGCCCTTTAGGTACACTAAAAGTTAATAAAAATATATTATATTTCATTGACACTTGTCTAAGAATATAAAAAAAGCTGAAAAGTCAACTGAATATTTTAAAGTGAAATGAGAATATTTTCAAGGTATACTTAATGCTGAAGTACAGATATGACACAAATCATATCATAAAAAGCATGAAATTTTAGGGACTTCTTTGCACCTTTTTACAACAAACTGCAATGGAAATTATGCGTTTTAAATACTTATAAACTAGAATTCACATACATATATACTTCCCCCCCTCTAATTTTTACATTTTGTCAGGTTGTTGTTCGCGAAACATCAGATGTAATATGGACAGAACATAAAAATGAGTCCAAAATGGATACCTTTTCTTTGCATGTTTAAGCTTAATGACGATACAACAAAGGCAGTCTTGAACATCAAAAGAGCATTTGGAGATGAAATACAACAGGCACAAACCACACAGCAATAGTTAGAAGAAAATTTGGATTCTTGAAAGAGGGTACAATAGACACTCGGCAACAACTCATGACAATGAAAAACTGTGAATGCTTGTGCAGTTGCATCTTAGACAAACTGCAAAAATCATGACAGAGAAATGAAGACCACACTATTTGAAAGTTTCACATCTCTCGTAACAATGTAGAGAAATTCCATAAGCATACTAACTGACATGCTGCCTCGAAGTTTGCATTTTTCTGCTGTCTTAAAAAAGCTATGTTCATTTCTGATTAAAATAGTGACATGTAGTGAGGGGGGAAAAAAAAAAAAAAAAAAGGATTTCATATGATAACTGCTGCTGATTTGCTCAAAAATTAGATGCTAATGAGTTCCCAAATCTAACATTAAAACTTAACCTCTATCCAAGGAAGGCTACATCAATTATTTGAGAAGCACAGCTAATATTTCATTTTAAATTTGGAAATGTTGCCCCAACTAAATAATTTTTATCTGAAATTATACATCAAATATCTTAGATTAGTTAAAAGTGCTTCAGTTTTATTCTAGATACTTGACCCTAGTATAAACTTTAAAAAAAAAATTAAGCATTACAAAATTTCTACAAAAACTTACGTAAATTTTAAATAAATGTCAAATAGTAAAAATACATGACAACATTCACAAGACCTCGCACCACTTTTTGGATATATTTGGATCATCCTTTTTTTTTTTTTAAATGAAGAAACTGTTCAAAAATGGGGCAGGTATCAAAAATACCTTCAAGGAAGTTCGAAAGTTTAGAATACTGGACTTTTAAAGTGAGTTTTAACAGAGTTACCGCAGTCTGAATTTTCACTACTGAATCTGACATTTCATGTGCAACAGTCTAAAAGATGCAATTCACTAAAGCAGACAGCAACGTAAAAATGTCTCTAAACCAAAAATTTAAGATTCTTAAAAAAATTTTAAATTCCTTTGCTTTAAGAAACAAAAATTAGTGTGATCAAAATAAATTGCTTAATAAATATAAATCCAAGCATTTATTGCTATACACTTCGACTGAAAAACATAAAAAATGCTAGTAAGATAACTAAAAGTACCTTTGTTAAACTTTTCAAAATGCTAGCCCTGCCTTCAGGTGCAGGTATGTCAACAAATATTTTTATCCCCAGTCGCCCAGGACGTAGAATTGCACTATCAATTTTCTCAATCCTATTGGTGGCGCCAATAACAAATACTTGCTTACGTTCTCCTATACCATCCATCTCTGTTAACAACTGAGTCACAACTGTCTGGGCTGCAGCATTCTAAAATAAAAAATGGGGCTAGATATATATTTAGCCAAAACAATAATGCATATAGCATAATTTATTCCTACCTTATAGAAAAGAATAAATTTTACTTTAATTCAATTATATTATTTTATGGGTGTGTGTCACTGATATCAAATTAAAAATTTACTGTAATTCTGTATTCTATAAATAAATGCTTAACTCAAATTTTACTGATTTTTCCTTACGCACTGTATTTTTAGGAATGTAAAATTTAAAATAATGTGCAAATGTATAAAATCATAAACTGCAAGATCATTCTTTTAATAGTGATTTGAACTAGGAAAAACTATAAATAAATAAATAAATAAAAATAAAATAACCTTTAGATTACAATATAATCTGTCAAAGCAATAATATTTAAAACTGCAATCAAAGCAATAATATTTAAAACTATTAAAAGTGATGTACAAATGATCATGCTGTATTTAAGTACATAAATACTGTCATTAGAAACATCTTTTATTAATTTAAATAATACTACAGATGATTACAAAAATTACTAGTAAATCATATTACCAATTAAATCAATTAAACATACTATTTAAAAAAGAAAATAAAGATATAATTTATAAAGAAGTATATTTCCTTATTCCTCAATGATTTTCTTAAAGTGTTTGGTTTGTTAAATATCTACAGTTATATTTTGAAACATAAATTGAAGATCATAATGGAACATCAAATGACCACACTCTAAAAACCAGGTATGAAACAAACCACATGAAAGAACAAAAAATGTCATCCTTCAGAATGGCAACAATTGCCAGATTGTATAGATGATAAATGATTTCATAATGAGATATTATGAAATAAGCCTAAAATTAAATACATGTTTCTAATAAAGAAAAAAATGAACTAAAAAATGTTAAAAAAAATATGAACCTGGAATCCAAAATTGCCTTCACTTACATTACTAATATTTTTTTAAAAGCAAATTATTAAACATTTACAATCTGCAAACGAAGGATACATATTTTTGTATTAAATCTATTGTAACATTTAACACAAATATGATACCCTTCCAACATAAAAACAAACTACAAAATATTTTAAAATATTCCATTTAACATGTTTGCTGCTATCTCTGATATGAGTGACTGTCACTGACACTGATAACATATGATAATTTTCTGTTACTAGGATCTCCCTACCCCACTTAAAATTAATGTTAAATTATTACTTTTCACTATAATTTACCATATTTTAAAACATGTTTTTACTGACACAACATAACATTATATTACATAAATAGTTTAATTTTAATTATATTTTATTTTACATAAAATTTTAATTATCATAAGTAAAGTAATAAATTCATGTGGCCATTGTTTTCATTCTCAAATCCTATTAATGAAGTTATAAAAGCATATTTTCATCATTCCCAAGAAATGAATGGCTTGAAGAATTGAATCTTTGGAAAATTTGTCTACAAAAGAGTACTGATGCTGGAGAGAACTACTTTAAATAATATTAAGATTTGGTAAGTTTGACTTGTACCATTTCATTGCACCTAAAACATTTTACAGTGAACCTCATATACTGAAGTGATCAATCAAAATTAGCAGCATTATTATAATTAATAATAATTTTCCAACGTGATATACTTAATGATTAATACAGAAAATTTCTAAATTGTTTGTAAAACAAATTTCAATTATTTTTTTATTTTATTTTAAATGTAGGTTGCAATTTGAAGTCTTTAAACTGCAATTATCTTGTGTTTTGTTAATTTTTCTAGTTATGTTCCCGAATTATGTAAAAGAAGGACTAAATAATAGAAGTTAAGAAGAAAACACATGCATTTTAAGATTCCTAATCTTTTCCCAATTTACATAACTAAAAGGAAAAACTTACCATATTTGAAGAAGATCTTTTTGGAGCCAAAGCATCAAACTCATCAAAAAATATCACACAAGGAGCTGAGTCTCTAGCTCTTTGGAAACACTGTCTTACAGCCTTTTCACTTTCACCTAAGTACTAATAAAACTAAAACTGTGTAACAGCTATTCACTTAAAGCACAAGTTTAAGCAATTTTATCATGAAATTATTATTTCTTATTAAAGTTCATAAAGCATTAAAGCACAATTAATACTGATGCTTATATGTTAAATTTCAGACTGAAATTAAAATAGCTCACATTTTAGAATTATTATTTTAGCTTAATAAAAAATAAGGCATAAAAACAAAAGTTTTTGCACAAGAAATATTCTCAAATAAGACAAATTACTTACCATGTTTAATAATTCAGGTCCTTTCACAGAAAGAAAGTTAATACTACATTCATTAGCTATTGCCTAATGTGGGAAATAGAAAAAAATTTTCTTTAAAATTTACCATAATTGTGAATATTCCAAATTAAAATACTTATATATACTAGAATACTAGAATGAGACACTTCATTAAAAATAACAATGCATTAAATAAGAACATTTTATACACACAATGATCCTATTTGAGATGCTTAACTCAAATTTCAGAAAATTCTAAAAAAAGAAATTTATTTCAATGAATTTTTTACCATGTAACAACAATTTATTTAAAAAAACCATACAGTATTTTTTAAAGAAATTTAAGGATGTAAATTTAATTACATTTATGCTTGTCCGATCGTAGTTCATTTATAAAAAAATGATACAATCAAAACATACAAAATGTGATTAATAAAAAGGCACCATTTTACGGTGACGTTGGACCTGTTTGTGTGCCATATGAGTCATTGCAGACAATCTTAATGCACCTGTACTGAACATGCAGAGTGTCACTGCCAAGTTATTCCTCCGAGTGCTGACCCAAGAAAAGAAGGAGCATCGCATCACAGGTGTGCCATGATGTCTGTGAGCATGCTTCAAATAACCCATCTTTCATATTCAGTATCATCACTAATAACAAAGCTTTGGTCTATTAATACAATTCTGAGACACATGGAACAGCCCATAATCTCTATGAACGAAGAAGGAAAAAATGAGCTGCACCATTACAAAAACCACTCTTATCATGTTTTTTCGACATCAGTGTCATTCTTTAATGTATTTTCATTTCCCAGGGCCAGACATTTGACACAAAGTTTTATAGCATAGTTTTGCAACTTTTGACAGAGAACATTAAAAGAAAACAACTAACTAAAACTCTTAATTTGCAAGTTTCTTACCACATAAACAATATCTTATCATTTCCACACTTCCGTTTTATTTCCCAGATCTAGCTCTTACCAACCTATTTTTTAAAATTCAACTGAAATTAGCAGTGGCAAGAAATGCTGAAATGAATTGCTGCACAAACCAATTATTTCCTACGTCAAGATACTCAAATTCAGTATTAATATATTTTTTGAGAACTCACATAATCCAGGAAAACTTTAATACAATCTTGTATGCAATAAATATTGATTATTAATTTATGTTAATGGTAAAAATACAAAACCTATATTAATTTTAGTCATAAACATTCACACTGACATGGCTCAGCTCAGTCAAATAATACTATTAAAGAATCAATTAGACATATGAAGGCTCATTACAACATAAACAAAACAAAACAAAACAAAAAAAGTCAAAAGAGAAAAATTAAAATCATGCTTTTCCTTATAAAAAGAGTTAAATAACTCTAAACTCCAACAAAGTAAATTTATTAGTGCAACAGATTAGTTATGGATATTTTCATGATTGATCATAATTGCAATTTGACTTTCTTTGTTTACTTGCTATTTGTTTACTTGCTACTTTTTGTTTGTTTACTTGCTAAGAAATTTGCACTAACTTACATAAAATAATAGACAAAAAATTATATACCATTAAATCACAAGAGAGCAGAGAAGGTTACTCAGATGCAATTCCAGTACAAAATCAAAATCAGGATGTCCACTAACCAGAAAGATATTTAATCTAGACCGTGAAGAGAATTTAAAAAAAAATTTTTCTTTTTCCCATGCAATGTAGGAACGGAACGCATGACACTAAAAAAAAGGGAAGATCAATTCTTCTCCTGATTAGATGAGATTTTTTTGGGCAAGAAACATCATTATCTATAACAGTATTGAATCATCCAATGTATTATTTAGTTTTAAATGCCTGCTAGCCAGTGAACCACACTTTCACTTAAGGTCCTTGAGTGATTGTGTGTGGGGCAGGAAGCATTTTCCTAGCTTATATAGCCCTCTATAGAACAAGTGAAGCCCGAAAACACACAACTGTTTAGAATGGAATGTTGCACATACTGGTCCTCTGTTGCTAATTTAGCAGAGAAGAAGAAAGAAAGAATTAGCTTAACTAGCATTGCAATTTACGCTCTTCCTTAATTTTCTGATTTATAGCAGCATATTATTTTGTTCTGCCTGTAATAATTAACTCTTTCCCATCGAGAGAGGACCAAATCTCTTTTTCTCAAACATCGAAAACGCCCATGTTTAGGAATTTCTGTTGGAATGCTTTTCCTTTCCCCAATGACAAATTAAATACTACAGTGCTAACAATAACCTACTTAAGTAAAGCGAAAACTTCTTTCTTGACACTTTCACCATGTGTGAAGTTCTCCCTTGGGACGGGATTGCAACTTTGGGCATCAATAGCTACACTGACAGTAAATAAAGGAAAAAGAAGGTGCATTAAAATAACAGAACTACTTTAGTTGCTTGAAAAGAATGATTGACATGTCATTTAACACCAACTGAAAGCAATGAACAATGCAGTAACATGATGGGGGAAAGCACTAGATAAGAAACTATTCAGGCGTTGGGGTGACCTGCCGCTGTCTGAATGCTCGGGCGTTTGGGGCGACTTCAATGTGAAAGAGTTAATCTTACCAAAATTAGTTTTAAAAAATGATAATACATCTATTTTACTATTTTCTCCCAAATCTTACATCTGTCAATCAGCCAATGGATATCGGAACTTACCACATACTAAAATGCAGATATAAAGTAGCTTTTTAAAAACCAGTGCAGCCATAAGACCATCAGACTCCTTGAAAATCTTTGGTATAAAATCTGATAAGCAGGGCATTGCAAGATCATGAGATGATGTAACCACAGATATTTTTAAAAATGTTTAACAGAACTTATAGCTACCAAATTCCATACTAATGATAACCATGAACCTGAATTAAAAGATTTGAACAGACTATTTAGTAGGAATTCTCGATAAGATAGACTCAAATAACAGAATTTTGTAACCTAATAAAAAACTAGGTATTCTGATTTACATTAAAAATCAAATAATTTACACTGAAAGAAACATTTAATAAAACAAAATAAACATTAACATGGAGCTCTTTTTCTAAATTTTGATTTCATGATTTGATTTGATTTAGACAATTTTGGACAGTTTCAGGGTTTTAACATGAAATAAAAATATGTTTTGCATAAGATGAAATCTTGTAGGCTTACGAATGATGGTCTAAAAGATCTAAAATTATTTTATATACATTGTATATTTAATATATGAAATTAGATCACCAGATATATATGTGCATTCTTGTATACTAGATGTCCATACAGATCTCTTTAAATAATTAGGTCCAATGAACATGAAGACTTGAGTCTTTATTAAGATGAACAACAGCTTATAAAGCAAGATAAATAGCTATAAACTAGCCAAGAAAGAGGGGGGAACGGAAATAGGATACATCTATTTACCATGTGAAAAACAATTGCCTATCCCTATAATTACACAGTAATCATCACTGAGCAGAAGCTCTATAGCATAAATTCTAAATTAACTGCCTGACAATCACTTCCAATCTCATATTTAGAGATTTCTTAAGCAGAAGGTAAGAACTTCCAGAAAAATCACTCCTAGGTCTTTGAAAATGTGCTTATAGAACGTCCAACAATTGCCAAATGTTACCGAAATCAATAAAGGGGATTTCTGCAATTACCTTCGGTTCTACTTGAGTTATCTTTAAAATACACACATCAGTTGACTCAGAATTTAAAAAATCCACTATATAATAGATGAAATAAAGGCATCCAAGCACAAAAAGTGCCTACAAATTAAAGTTAAATAAACTACATAATAAAAACCTAAAATCACCATGCAAACGCATTAATAAATAAATAAGTTTTTAAAACAATACATAAAATGTAAATATTAAAAAAATACAAAAATTAATAATGTCCACTGCAGCAAAAAATAATTAATAACCCAGATCAGTTATTTGCTGTTGTACATAATTTAATAAATCTCTAAAAGTATAGATTAAGTCACACTGCATGGCTTCAAAAGTCTCAGTTTTAACATTTTAAATAACTAAAAAGTTATTCTTTAAGTTTCAGGATTTATTAGAGTTTTTTGGTATTTCCTATTATTATTTATGGCCTCAGTTTTGTAAACAGCACTGAGATTATCAAGAGGCTGCAAATGTCACCAATGATCATTTAAAGTTTGCTCATGATAAGAACAGCTGAGTAAAACAAATGCTATTGTCTTTTTGATTTTCACATAAATGCTAACAATTCACAATCACTCATAAGTCTCTCAGCATAAGAACAGCTTTGAGTATTCCAAATATTAGACACATTTTACCTAGCATTTGAATATGATAAAATAGCTATTAAATAGAACTACATATCAATGAAAGCATTTGGAAGTGTAATGTGAAAGGCTGCAAGTGAAAGAAAAAAAATTGAGAACTAGTTCAGTGATTTCAGAATATTGTTTATAACAGTGCACTATTTATTTACTGTTAAGCAGAGGAACTGGCGTCAACTAGACGGTGAGAGAACAACTCAGCCTTTATGAAAATACAACTATTGATTGAAACAATTTTATGTGAGAAGTTCTCTACATCTTATCCAGCAAGCGAATGAGTGGCACTGAAAATATTGCGGATATAGACAAGAATTGGTTTATTAGTGCAACAGAGGGTTAAAATAGCAAACAAAGGCCAAAATACAGCCAACAGAAAATAGAAAGCAAACTTGGCTATAATCCTGGCATCAACTTGGCATTTAAAATACAGGTGCCATAATAATAAAAAAGTACCAGTTTCTCTTAACATAAAATATCAAATTTCAATTCAATTTTCAGCCACAATCACAAAGAATTTTTAGGAAGAAGTAACACAGAATCAAAATTAATTCATGTAATACATGTAAATGAGTAGCATCTTACCTTTGCAAGAAGTGTTTTACCACATCCTTTAGGGCCATACAGCAAAATTCCCTTTGGGCTGGATATACCAATTTTTTCATACAACTCTCTGTTCTCTACAGGTGCCTAACGGGGAAGGGGGGAATCGAAAATTTCTTAAGTTACAGAGCAGTAAAATTACACACTTAACAATATATCAAAGTTTTGAAAAGAAAATATTCTCATCAATATGACCAATACAAATAGCAAACTGCAATGTTTACAGTTATTGTTAGAAAAATTAATGAATATTATATAATGCTTCTACTGAATTTAAATATAAAAAATAATAATGGGAAATTACAGTTTTATTAACCTGTATCATTCTTCAAAAAATCTCATGTCTGCAAATAAAATAAGTTATTAACATTAAGACAAATTGCAAAAGATTAAGTTTTCTTCATCCTTAGTTCCTTAGTTGCTGAGCAGGATCCATAAAATATAAAAGTACTTCATAAAGTATTAGGCGAGTTTAATTAAAGCTGGCTTGTTTAGGCCCATTGCTGCTGTAACTGGGGAAGTAGGCAGACTGATGACTAAATTGGCATGTGTTCTATTCAAGAAATGTACACAAATATTTTGCACCGTAGTGAAAATGTTTTAAAATTTTACTAGGGAACATTTTATGATACACAGAAAAATTAATCTCTTAAATAATTTTAACATTTATTATGGTATTTACAAGCATTATGGGAGTGAATGTTATAAACACCCCAAAAATGACAGAAAAAAAAAAAAAGATGTATCACTTTGATCTCAGAACCAAGAAACCAAAATCTGATCAGCATGATAGGAAGACTGTGACACATTATGCATAATTCATAATCAAACACCAGTTATGATCTACTCAATTTCCATAAAATCTATTTATGTAAATAAGATATCTTATTTACATAAAATGGTGAATTAAAAGCTAATTATGACTAATTCTCTATGATGCTTATCACATACATTGAGATTTGGATGTTCAGCTTTATAAGCACTTCCACAATAGATAACATTTTCAGGAAGTCCTACAGCCAGATATCACAGGGTGACAGTCACATACAATAAATTTTGACATAATAAAATAATAATGGTGGAGAATATGGTAAGGAGAATACGGCAGCACGAAAAAATGTTTGCCTAAGACTGCAAACTCGAATGGGCAGCCTGCAGGCTGCATGAGGCCCCCGAAGCAATTTTATGCATCCAGCAAAGATATTTCATTCAATTATGCATTTGTCCCAAATATGGTGTTGCAAACATTTCAGGACTTTAAATATTTGAAGTTCGAATTTACATTATTTTTATAACCATTAAAAATGGACATGAACAATGTGCCAGAAAATCCATAAACAGAACTAATTAAGTTACAATGTAAATCTTATTTGAAAGTTTATTAATTTTTGTACAAAGAAGAATTGCTTTGTGAACAGCTTCCCTCCACAGATGAAAACTGATAAGAAAAGAATATGATTGACCGATAAGCATCTACAATTGATGAAGATTGCAGAAATGTCTTGCAGGTATCAAACTTTAGATTTCAGAAGGAAAATAAATATGAGTTTTTTAATTTTTATTATTATTATTATTGTTTGTTATCTTTTGATAAATGTTTAGTAAGCAAAACCTAAAATTTATTTAAAATATTTCTTATTTGATTAACAAAACATACATTATGAAAAAAGTAAAAGAAAAGGAAAAGAAAGGGAAAAAAAAGAGAAGAAAAAGGGGGAAATGTTTTTTTAACATGTGAGCTGTTTTCAGATCATGCATGCAGTCCACATGGAATTTGAGTTTGTGTCAACTGCCATATAGCCTCTTAAACAAAAATTATACACATTAGACACTGTCATTACTGCAAACTTTGGTAAAATGAATGTTTGCAGCATGCTATTATGTCTGACGGCCATTACGAAACAAGTCATGACAGTTAACAGACTTGTTGCTCATCAAAGGATTTCCATGGCAATAACACACCAACTTCTCTGCTGGCTTAATAATTTATAGTAAACATGAGGTACTGCTTCTTGTCACTATCACATAAATATGTGTTTAAAAAAAAAGCCACTAAATTTGCAGCATTTTCTATACTGTGCCAAATAACTAACTGGAAAGATAATGCATGCACACTTTTAGCATAATGTATCACTAACTGCTTAACAACAGATGTTGCTTCTGCTCACTTGCCTGACGTAGCCAGCCCAAGCCCATTAAATTCCTCGTAGCAAAAAACGCTAGATTATGCCTGTCATTGGCAACAGTCTTCAGCACCTAACAGGTGACAATGCAATTTGGCTCAGTTCCACCCCCCAATTTTGATAAAGAGCACCCCGGGGAAATGGGTCTGAGGGTTTCCCACCCCTCTCCCATTCCACCAAACCATAAGAGAGGGCTTTTGACTCGCCACATATTTAGAGTGCCGCCATGCCACACCGACACTATACATTTACAAACATCCATGCCTTCTCAGGGATACGAACCCATTCCTTTCGGCATGGCAGTCAGCAATGTTAACCACTCTACCAGTTAGGCGGCAACATCAGACATAATAAGATCTTCTATAACTTGTGTGTTCACTGGATTTATACCCTTCACCAGTTTGCACTCTTAATTTATCAATTTTCTCAAAGCTTGGAATAATTTTTCAGAGTGCTTGTGAAAACATTAGAAGAAAAATTAATTTCTTAACGTCTCTGATTCCACATGCATATATTATGATGAATGTTTCAAACGGTTTTTTCTGCTTTTTACTACAAAGCATCCTTTAGAAGGTAACTTTTTATTTATTTATTTACTTGAACAGTTAATTTTCACAGTAATTAAATGTTACATGTTACCGGCAATGTATGAAATGCCGGCATTCTATAGAATACCTGGCGTTTTTAGGCAAAGTATGAAATATGAGAATTATTATGTACTTTACCGGGCATTGTATATAATACCTAGGCATTCTATAGAATAACAAATGCACTTTAGGCAAAGCAAGAAAAAAAAAAGGGTCATGATAAGCTATTATTTAAAAGATGTTCATTCCTGAAAAATACAAATGTTATTTTGAAAAAATAATGAAAGACTGTCATAAAAAACTTCTAAATACACTAAATTAATTTTTTTTTTAATTAGTGAGATGATCTTGGTACACCATAACAAATTTATATTCTTTATCTGACAGGAAATCAATAAGGTCTACCTGATAACAGGAATTAAAATAAGAAAAATCATAGATTTAGCAATAATGGCCTTTTTAATACATTTTTTTTTTTTTTTTTTTTTTTTTCTGGCAGTACTCACAAAGGTTGATGTACAGTTCAATATCATTCCATGTAACATTTTTGTATTTGGTTTCAACATTCTGTTACAACAGTTCCTTCAACATTTTATCACAGCCTAACGAATTTGATGAAGTACGTAAAATAACTGTGCTGTCTTCTTTAACAGGTCAAATGAGTTTACTTTTGTTTTCCACAAACATCACATCATAGCGATTCAGCAACCAAGAGTCCCATTGTTTCTTCCTGGCAGTTATTTTGGCTTTTTTACATCCTTTATTAACTTCTGGTTAGTAGTTTCAGTTATTCAAAAAGAATCCCAGATGTATTTCATACGTTGCCGGTTTGTCATTTGGCATCCTATAAAACGCCTAGGCAATGTGTGAAATGCTTAATCGTTTCATACATTGCCAGCCAGTTTTCAGTATTCACACTTTGCCAGAATGCCGGATTTCATACTTTGCCAGTAACATATATATACAAACTTTGATGTAAACCACTAACTGGTCACAGCTACTAAGTGCTTTGAAAAATTCAACTTTAATTATAGTTACACTCTCATCTCCATGCACATACTTCCTAGTATGAGCATTATTAATACTCAAAAAAACATTTTCAAGAACAAACATCACATCATTTAGCTGTCATAATAAAAGACAGTTCACAAATTTTATGGGTAAAATACCCCCTCTTAAAAATATTTTATGCTGCATACATTCAACATATTTTCCCATTTGTTTACATACTAGCTCCATGGGTGGCCGCTGGATTAAGACAGCTGGATAGTGGGAATCTGGGATACGGTAAAAATTATCAAACTGGATTCATAAATAATACAATCTTGCATTACATCCAAAACGAGAAATCTATCAATTCAAGACTAAGAAAAGTAGTAATCTATACTGATGGAAACAAGAACAAATAATGGTACTTATCAGACAGAAAGGCAAGGCAGCCAAAATAAGTCAAATAGAAATATTTTTTTTTTTTTTCCCCCTTAATAGACAACCCATTTTATTCTTGTGTCTTTTCTTCTCCTTAGCTCATGCAGTGCATAAGCAGATGAATTTTGTGTGTTAAATTATTCATATAAAAACTATTTAACTACTCCCATTAGAATTTGTTTAGCAATTAAAACCAAATAATGGTAGCTCAAAAACATTCTCAAAATTTTTATGACTTAAAACACAAAGAACAAAGTAAAATAAAATCGGCAAATAGTCACCTTAATTGCATCTTGTAGCTGCTTTTTAATATCTTCTAAAGCTCCTATATCATCCCATGTTACATATGGGACAGTCGCAAAGCCTTCTCTCTTACAGTAAGGAACACAATTCTGAAGTGCAACCTGAAAAATGTCAAAAATGATAATGATGCAAAAGGAATTACAGTCGGCCTTTGAAGTATATGAGAGTAAGTAATGCTAACATCCAAGGCAATTCCAAATCAGCACATAATAGTTAACCCTTTGATGGTTATGAACAAGTTCAGCTCGCAATCGAATGCTTCATAATGCATGCAAACGAGTTCCGCTCGGGAGCAAGATTTTGACCGAAATGGTTAGTAACGAGCACTATTCGCGTAGTGACATTTTTCCCCAATGCGTGCTGACGAGCTGACTGTTGGCAGTGGTGATAAATGCAAAGCTTGTTTTGCTTCCCTTAAATAAAGCTAAGACTAAACTAAATAAAATTCTTGCTTTATTCTGCAAATAAAATAAAAAGAGCTAACACTGTAGCCTTTACATTTAAAATCATTTAGTGAAAGCAAACTAGCATAAAGCTAACTGATAATCACACAAGAGAACAAGAAACAAGAAGCATTCGGCGATACCGGCGTACATATATGTATACTCGGCCAACCCGCCGATCTTGACATCATCGGCAACCACGTTAGCTTACCGCCGATCAACCTCCGATCAAAATTTGCATGTGGAAAACTAAAGCCAACATTGACTTCGTTCGCCATTATTATTCTGCACTGATTGTGTTTCAAACGAATGCTACTCGCGAAATTTAGTTAGTTTTACTGTCTACAGATGGCAGTACGAGTTCCATGAATTTCTTTGCATAATGAAGGTGGATTTTTTTTTTGACCTTGTTCATTTTATACGTATTTTGGCGCGGTTTTTAGGGTGTTTGTACAGTAAAATGGCTCAAAAGCGAAAGTTAGATAGGTATGATGATGATTATGATTGTGATACAGAAAGCTTATCAAGTTTTGAATCTGATGAAGACTTTGTTCACAGTATTTCAAGCTCAGAAGACGATTCAAGCGATGAGGAAGATTTTTCGAGTGTTCGACAGTGGTGTATAATTGATTCAAGTTCTCACGCTCCTAGCCGATTTAGTTTTACTGGTGATGTAGGCATGAAAGCTTGCGTGACAAATATTTCTGATATTCTCTATTAAAAAGAACCTACTAGACGATGTGTGTTATGTTGCAGCAAAAATGATGCTAATGGAAAAAGAATTCGCCGTGAAACACGTACGTATTGCAAAGACTGTAATGCCCCATTATGTGCAATTCCATGTTTTAAAGTATATCACACACAAAAAGATTTTTAGGTAATTACTGTATTTATACTGAGCTTCATAAAGTTTTACATTAGTTGTATTTATTTGGTCCTTTCAATTTAATATTTGTCTTATATTTATAATTAACTATTATTATTTATATAATTGGTTATAATCATTTATAATTTACTGTTTAATAATTATTTTAAAGTACATAAAAACTGTTATTTATGTACTACAAATACTTTAAGACATTTTTAAAATGCGCGAGGCGAGCTATCTACGGCATCGCCAGAGAAAGGTGACATTTTCGGAAGAACGGTGGGGGAAAACAGCTGCCACTTTCGACTACTGTTTACTCCTAATGCTGCGCAAATTAAGTAAACAGAAACTGCTCCTTTCCATAACCGTCAAAGGGTTAAGTTTTAGAAAATTTCAAAATAAATAGCCTTCTAATAAATAGAAGGCTTAAATTCAAATTAGGGCTTCCACATGCCCATATTCTTTGGAAGATTACGTTATTCAAATTTTGATGGCTCTAGGTATCTTGTTTTTTAACAATGAGAGAAACATATTACATTTACGTAGATTCTTCATTATTTAATTTCCTCAAATATAATACAGGGCTGTAATATTTGGTGGCAACAGTTTGAAAAGTGTACAGACATTTACAGTGAATCGACGCAAAATGACAAAACGAAATTAATAGTCCTTGTGGGCAAATTGCCCTTTTGGACTTTGGACTAAAAACACTGATGAAATCATAGTCGATAGTGGATTAAACCAACATGATGAAGACATGCTTACTGAAGAGATGTCCATTTCTGATTATGTTGTATGTGCTCTTGAAGCTCAACACACTCAAGATACTCTTTATGATAAAACTCGCGATACCCTTCTACTCCATGTACAGGCAATGTTTATACAGCTTTTTGACCTGCCTTCAAGAACATTCCGGGGGGAAACCCGTAAGAATTAGTTTTAGAATGTTCGCACTCTGTCTATGGCATATCACCAATTTTGTTGCCAGATCTGGCAACCCTCCCTCTCCTTACCATTTTCTGGCAACCCTAAACCCACTATGCGGGGAAGCTACCTTACCATGTCAGGCATTTTGTAACAATTTGATCGTTTCGATCATTTCTTAACTATACTTTACTTGTATTACAAATTCAGTCCATGATCATGAACTGCTTTAAATCATAAGTATACCCTGAACCTGCAGAATCTTTCTTAAAAAAAAAGATGAATTTCTGAATTTCATAGAATTCTGACCACAATTTTCAGACATTTATCTCCCCTTGCTTTGCCTTATTTAATTTGTATTGATAATTAAAAACCCTTTTGTGTATAAGTAGCTATTATATAAGCCTTTCACAGCATTCATAATTTACATATTACAGATTAAGATCATGAGAACCCAATTTTAATGACTAAGTAAAGTGCAGACTTCAACAAGAAAACACCAAAAGAATACAGTCAAAAGTCGTTAATCCGGACTCGTCGGGACTTCGGCGATTCCGGATTATCGATTTTTCCGGATTATAGATCATCAGTTTAAATCTGGTAAAATGGCATGCAGAAATTATAAAATTAAAAATATAAAGCCGTAATTTACGAAATAAAGAACAATTATGATCTAAAGGGTATCAAAATTTACAAAAAAAAAAAAAAAATTAATATTTATTTGTTTACTTTATTAAACATTTCTTTCAATGTAAGCTGTTTAAGTTGATTCGTTTTTTATGTGATAATACATTCTCTTTGATTCTATAAACAGACATAATTTCTTGTTCAGTTACAAAGTTCCGCTGTTCACGTCCTATAATTGCTGTGTCGAGAATACCGACTAATTTGTCAATCGAAATTTTTTCGTTTTCAATAACCTCTGTCACTTTCTTCGCTATCGGAAGCAAATTATAATGACGAGTCATTTGATTTAAATCATATCAAAGATGGAGTACATCGAAATGAAATACTACATAGAGTAAGCAATTATAAGCCAAATAAAATAAAAACATCTGCCCTTAAAGATAAGGATAGTGAATTCATTGCACACTGCGTTAAAGATAAACAAAGTTTAGATAAACAAACGTTAAAGTTTAGATAAACAAGCGTTAAAGTTTAGATAAACAAAATATATGCCTTTATCCATTTTTTACAGCAATTCCACTTTTTGTGTAATGGACTCCGAAAGATACTTTTGCTTTGTATATCCTGTACATATTAGTAAATATATATCGAAAATTCTATTTGACATAATCAAAAGTTCAAGCTTACTTTTTATAAAATTGCTCTAACAGTCTGCAAAAAATAATAATCCGGATCCAATTCGAAGATTAAGGAACAACGCAATCTGCAACATTAACTGAAATAGATAATTAGATAATTTTAGCTTAGCTTATCCCGTCCGTTATACATTAAACACGCATTCGTAAACATATTTTGCGCACGCGCACACGCAAATTCGTAGCAGTAAAGGTCTGACGCATGCGCAGAAAGGTTGTAGCTTTGAGGTCCGGATTATAGATCATTCCGGATTATGGGTGTCCGAATTAACGACTTTTGACTGTACTTAAGTATGAATTTTATAAAAGTGTAAACAAACATTGGCTGAAGGTGAATATAATGCTAATAAATAAAGTTCATACAAGAACACAACATTTCAGAAATTAAAATTTTTATCACTGCAAGTTTTTATCCAAGTAGATTCAAACACTTTTTTTTTTTTTCAAAAATATTACGAGTTCAAAATTACGACCTTTCTTGTGAGCAAATTTTAACATGAAAAATAGCTAGGAAAAAAGCGATTGCCTTTTGTTGATATCAAAACAGGAAATCATCTTTCTATTTATGAAGAATAATTCATTTATAATCTCTTACACTAATGTTAAAGTACTTCTTCTTCTTCTTCTTCTTTTTTTTTTTTTTTTTTTTTTTTTTTTTTGAGAATGGTGACACAAAAAACATGTTAAGCTATGAGTTATTAAAATTTTAAAAAGCTGAAAAATATTTATAATTTCTCTAAACTTAATATTCATTCTTCATTATTTAATCAAAAAATTATTTACCTGAAAATCCTGCATTTGAAAATAAAGCTTTTTCCTCTCTTCTTCTGGAACATTGTAGTTGGATTTGAACCAAAACTGTGCTGAGTAATTACATAACTAGTGAATATTAGGAATAAGGAAAACATATACAATAAAAGCAAACAATAATTAAATATTTCATAAACAAAAATATAATTTCCTTATGGCCATGTGAAAAGTGACATTAATATTTTAATATTGTATTAATACAAAGTCCATAATCCAGACTCGTCAGGACTTTGGCGATTCCGGATTAAGGGTTTTTCCGCATTACAGATCATCAATTTAAATCAGGTAAGATGGCATGCAGAAATTATACAATTAAAAATATGAAACCAAAATTTATGAAATAAAGAGCAATTATGATCTAAAGGGTATCAAAATTTACAAAAAAAAAAAAGGCTTAATATTTATTTGTTTACTTTATTAAACATTTCGTTCAATGTAAGTTTTTTCGTTTTTTGTGCTAAACGCGCATGCGCAACATTAAACGCATTATGCGCATGCATAAAGCATACAAGAAAAAAAACGTTTGTGGCTTTGAGGTCCAGATTATAGATCATTCCGGATAATAGACGTCCGGATTACAGACTTTGTACTGTATTAACATACTAAGAGCATGTGGATAGATATGCTTTTAAATTTTATTTTTCACAAGTTCTATAATAAAATGGGGGAAAAAAGAAAGAGTGAGTTAAACCAGATATTTATACAAATCAATAGAAATTAATTTTCATCTAGCATAATCATAAGCACTTAATTTAAATATAAACTTTAAATGCCATTAGTATCTACATTTTATCGTATGTTCAAAATTCATACTAAAGATAAGCAAACATATTTTCTAATATGTTGTGCTAATGAAAGATTAAATTCCTAACATTATATGCATTTATTTACAGAAATTCCATTAACATCTTTAAAAAAAATCTATTGAACTTTTGAAAAGCAAGAGAAAGCAAAATAGTTATCAACATAAGCATCAAGCATAATTCAATTTATAAATATTAAAGAAATACCAGTTATTTGAAGGATTGGGTTGCTTCAGACTGAATGTCAGATTTGGTACTAAAACTTCAGACAACAGCAGCATTGTTAAAATTCACTTCTATTTGCCAAAATAATAATGTTAGATTCAATACAATCTTCTAATGAAGATAAGTGTATTCAAGTCAGTTTCATGAAAGCCACATTTTCGGCACTTGCAAAAATCCTTGAAGATATTTTTCTTTGCTGCATCGTTACTAAATCATGCTCCCCAAAAGAAAATGATAAATTCTTTTAAAAAGACAGTTCCGGGTGGGAAAGTATGACAGGTGGTGAAACTCAGAGTGGCAAGTTATGCAACTTTTAGACTTTTTTTTGGGGAAGGGGGAAGCCTGCTGTCATGCATTATCTTAAGCAGTACAACTCCCTCTCTCCTTACCAGTCTATTCAGATGTTTTATTTTGACAATGTCTCCTTAAAAACTAAAATTCTCTTTCCTAGAGCAGAATTTCTTATATATTCTGTACCTGACTTTAGACAAAACAAATATATGGTTACATTATCCACATTTACGCCTCTATAACTTCTCACATCCATCATATTGCTATGATGTTTCCTATCCATAAGAATGTGGTCTATTTGATCAACACTTTCGCTGCTCAGGTTGTGTTGATAGTTCATGCTGTGTCAAAGAAATAGATTGTACTTATAAGCCGACTTACTTATTATGAAAAATATGATTTAAAAGTAGTAATAAAAGATTATGTATGTACCACATTGATTACTAAGCATCACTAGAGGCAAAATTACTTCTGCAATACCACATTACACATTGACACGTGGCATTTAAAAGTGAATCAAAATTAGCAACAATATGCATTATTTTGGTATGAAACTTCTCTCACACACAAATATATATATTACAAATGAATTTATTAAATTTATTACAAGACAGTTACAATGATATTATTGCAAACTATATATTTCAGAATGTAATTTGTGCAAAATCTTTGTCGGAAATGAAACTTTTTCCATTCTAAACCACATGTATTAACAACTAGTTTCTAACCTGCCAATACCAGCATATACACTCTGCAAAGAAATTAAGAGAATTATCATATTTGATCTACGATCTCCAGAACTACTGGACAGAATTTAATAAAATTTGGTGTGAACATAGGTTGATATAATACAAACAAAATAAACATTTAACAGTTAATAAACACACATGTTCATGTGTAACACTCATGGGAATCTGAAGGTCTGAAACAGCGGTTACAGAAGACACAAAAGAAATGGGTTAATATGGGGTATGGTAACCTCTTACAGCCATCACAACGTGATGTCATACTGGAAATAAGGCAGTTTATCAGTGCCTGTGGCAATTGGTCCCACTCATTCAGCAACGCTGTTTTCAGTTCCTGGATGGTTCTCGGAGAGGGGTTGTGAGTTGCAATTGCCCTCCCCAGAGCACCCCAGACATGCTCTATACGCTTGAGGTCAGAAGACCTGCTGGCCAATCCATCTGGTGAATATCCTCACACTCGAGAAATTCGTCGCCCAGAAGAGCTCTATGTGGCTCGCGTTATTGTTCTGTAAGATGAGCTTGGGGCACACTGCACCCCAGAAAAGACGAACATAGGGCTCCAAGACCTCACACCAGTTAGAAAGCCTCTGTCAAAGACTTGGAGAGGTGTGGGGCCATCCAACATGATGAGTGTCCAGACCATTACACTGCCAGCGCCATAATTGTTGATTTTGCACGGACATTGGAGGGTAGGTAGGGGGTCACTGGCTCTCTTCATATTAAAGTACGGTGAGAATCGGTGTTTAGACTAAAACAGGACTCATAAACATAATGATCATCCATTGCTCCGTACTCCAATCGCTATGCTGCCTGCACTATGCTAATTGGACTCTCCTGTCTAGAAGTGAACGGGACATAAACAGCCTTCTGGCAAGCAATCCTCTCTCATTCAGTCTTTTGGAAACAGTCACCCTTGTTATACAGGCTCATGTGGATGCACACAGGTCCCAAGAGAGATGAGAAGCTGTAGCCCCTCTGTTATGCCTCATTGCCATGTGTCAATGTGTAATATGGCATTGCAGAAGTAATTTTGCCTCTAAAGAGGCTTAATAATCAATGTGGCACATACATAATCTTTTATTACCACTTTTAAATCGTATCTAAAATGGACAAATAGCAACCGTCTCTGGCCGTCGTGGCTCTTGGACAACCTTGCCCAGGCTTTCTCTCGATGGATCCAGTATCCTGAAACTGTTTCCATAAGTTATACATGATGTTGGACATTAAATTAAACTCTCTGTATATCCAGACTTGTGATTGGCTTGCCTCTAGCCTCCCCACAATTTGCCATCTCATTCCATCATCTAAACGTTGGTGGTTACTCATTTTTACTGTTCCGATGTGAATTTAACCGATTGCTGCAAGATAACACCAAGACATTCACCAAGGTGTGCTAGCAAATGCAATTCGTCTTACCCCCCACGGGCTTATAAAGCCTGTTTTCCTGCTGGCTCCGCCTACACAACACCTGTACGCTTATGTATTTACAGTACAAGATTTGTATTTTTATATAGAAGCAGCAGTTTTTCCTTCAGTTCAGTTCTTTTCATGCAATTTGATAAAATATGCACATTTTCTTTTATTTCAGCAGTATATATCCAAAACATAATGTCAACTGAACTTGAAAATAAACACTGAGACATTATTTTTTCTGTGCCAGCGTGTAACTGGCACCTCAGACATCACCCAACACCAAGCGTAAAAGCATGATTGGCTCTTCAGCAATAACAGCAGTCATGCACCAGTGCGCAATTGGCAATGAATATGTTAAGATTTAAACCATCAGGTGAACACCAAGTATACTTACGCATTTCCCTGTGTGGGAATTCAGCACTAACAATAATCATATTCTCCAAGACAGCGAACTTAAACAATTTCTGTCCATTACTTAACATGAAGGACCTCATGGCATGGAATCTTGGGAAACTTGGGATCTGATATGTCGCTGTCTTCCAATCTTGGCATTTAAGTGTCCAATGACAAGCTTCATGTCTTGCACAGGACATGAGTCATAGCTCTCCACAAGTAAATCATAGAAAGTGCCCTTTTCCAATTCCTTTTATTCTGTGGGTGTGTGAGCACTAATCAAAGTGATATTGTAGTGTCTTCTCCTTAATCTTATCTTACAAAGCCTCACGCTAATGACCTGAAAATCCAAAACTGAGTTTCTCAGTCTTTCGTTCATAATGAACCCCATACCTAATTGCTTAGATTTGTCTTGGCAACTGTAATACACACTACATTCCTTTTTATTCATAATACCATGTCCTGGCTATCTCATTTCCTGTATTGCAAGGATATCTGTATGTAGTTAACAGATATGTTATTAATTTTCTATGCACCACCTTTAAACAGGGTGCATATATTCCACGTACCAATCCTCAAGTTTTTTTGTTTTTTTTCCTTTCCGAGTCTTCTGGGTAGAGCCAAGCCAGTTTTTGCACTTTGTCGAGGTTTCTGAACTTGGTATTTCTTCTTGGTTTGAACTTGATATTTTATTTGGCCTTATGCCCAAAACCCAAGCTCAAGGGCTAAGTCAAATGATATAATCCCCAGGGCAGGGTGCCGGCTATACCCTGGATCCCACCCGGTCAACACAGTGACCAACGACAAGTTTACCATTAATTTAATAGGTCATATCCCCAAACAATCATCATTTTCTTCTTCAGATAAAAATTCAGTTTTGGCCTATATTTAGGGCCTCATCAGCATCTAAGTATTCAACAGATAATTAATCAATCATACAAAGTCCATTTTTTATCACTATTCTGGTTAGGGGGAAAAAAAAAATTCTGAAATAGTTCAATTTTAATTGCACAAAGGGCTTGTTTTACCCATAATTTCAACTCTTCTTATTCTAACAATGGATATTTCAATTGCTTATTTTAGACAAATATACTTTATTGTTCTAATTTTGTTTGTTGCTGTCCTGTAACTTTCTTAGTTGTTTTTCATGTAATAAAAGCTTTTCTTCTTGGGTTAACCCTTCTCTTTATTTTAAAAGTGATAAAAAAACTGATGTTTGAGATGAATGCAGTCAAAATTCTTTAATCCGGACGTCCATAATCCGGAATGATCTATAATCCGGACCTCAAAGCTACAAACTTTCTGCGCATGCGTAAATGCATAGTGCATTTACACATGCTCATAATACCTTTACGCATGCACATTTAATGTATAACGGATGGTATAAGCTAAGCTAAAATTACCTAATTATCTATTTCAGTTAATGTTGCAGACTGCATTGTTACTTAATCTTCTAATTGGATCTGGCTTATTATTTTTTGCAGACTGTCAGAGCAATTTTATAAAAGTAAGCTTGAACTTTCGATTATGTCAAAAAGAATTTCCGATTCTGGAGCTGCCAAAGGACCTACAAAGCGAAAGCATGTTTCGATGTCCATTAAACAAAAAGTGGAATTGCTGCAAAAAATGGATAAAGGCATATCCTTTGTTTCTCTAACCATTCCAAAATTTGTTTATCAATTTCACGTTGCTCCGCGGGGAAGGGGGGGGACGTCACGGTGCGCAATGACCTGGAAGTTGATCTGTCAGCACAATCCTTATCTTCAGGGCAAATGTTTTTATTTTATTCGGCTTATAATTCCTTACTAAATGTAGTATTTCATCTTGATGTACACTGTCTTTGATATGATTTAAATCTAATTCCTTGTCATTATAAATATCACGAATACACATCAAATAGTTTTCTGGTTGCAATTTTCTAATTTCGACTATGCGTAATGTATGCTTTACGCATGCGTGCATTGAAAGAAACAGGTGTGCTTGTGGGACCCCAAAAAATCCCCTGAAACTTTTACGGACTTACTACCGACATTTTGGAGTTTCAAGAAGGGGGTGGAGAGAAATGAAAAATTACAATTATGAAGTATTTGATGACCTAATTATAAAAGTTCAATGAATTACTTTTTTTGCTAAATTAATAACCATAAATTTTCAAACATATAAACTACTACATTTTATGTAAATATTTTAAATTACCTGAATTAATTCTTTAAAAAAAATTATCTAATTTCTGCTGCTTTTTTTTTATTTTCTGATGTTTGTGGGCTTGTCTTTCTTTTGTGGTGAACTTCATAATTGCAGGAAGGTTGACTTTTATTTTCCTCATTTACAGTTGAAGAAATTTCCTCGAGAACTGCATATGCAGAGGTAGAAGCAGTTTGCTTTTCTGCTAATGTAGAAGGTTTTTCAGAGACTTTTATAGGTGACTCATCTGAAATACATGCTTTTAAGTCCTCTTGATATGTTTTCCAACTTCTGTTCATATTCAGTAAGAGATCTTTGTGAATTGGATTAATCATTGGATTTTTTTAGCCAAATTTTTCACATGAGGTTTCTTTAGAAGCTATTAAATCATATTTAATAGTCTGCACTGCATCTAGGGAATCAATCTCAAGAGAGGTTCTATAGTCAGTGACAAGTGTATCCATTAAGTTGAATGCACTTTCCACTAATGGGCCATGGAAGCAGCTAAGGCAGGCTTTGACCAATTTAGCCAATGTAGGATACTTATAAATCATTTGTGAAATCATCTTTTAAATTAAAACTTTAGACCAATATTTATCAATTGTACACTTGACTTGATTTCCACTTTCATCAGATGTGTAGAGCATTTCGTTGGTGATATCAATATCACTCTGGTATAACCCTTATTTCAGCTTCTACTTTTGACTTTTCATTATCACTAAAAATATGGGACATAAAGGATGATAATTTTTCAAAAGGTAATATTGTACTGGTTTTACCTCTTAGCTCTGGATCTAATGCTGTAAAACTAATTAGATATGAATTTTTAAGGGGTAATTTCTGTTTCATATGCTGTGCTGTATTAGTATAAGCTTTCATCAGAGAAATTTGGAATTCTTTTGCTATTGGATGATTTTTTGATAATTTCTTCAGGAGAGTGGAAGCTTCTGCACCAGTATATATTACTTTGCTAGGTAGATGGAATTCTGGATTTGTGACATCAACCTTTAATAAATCATTATAAGATGTGCAGTCTATATTTTCTGGCTTCATAAAAAAAGAGAAAAATTTTGCCATCAATTTAAATGAAGCATTGGTTTTTTTGTTTCAAATAATTTAATATATGTGTTGAACTCTGGTAATACTGCTGAATATAATGCCATATGCAATAAAGTTTTGTTTTGCATAACAAATAACCCATTTAGTATTCTTTTTTTCCGAGCTAAAGCATGCTTTGTGAGTTGTTGGGAATGCAAGCAAGAATACACCCCTTCAACAATTTTTTTCTGAGCTGCAGAAATATTTCTTTTATTGTATACAGTTTCAACATAAGAAAAATAATCCCCTTTATCAGTTTTATCCAAGTAGTGAAAATAAAATGCAATAAGAGCATCCCACAGATCTTTGATTCTTTCTAAAACACATAAAACATACACCCACCTATGGTCTGGTCTCTTCAAGGGCTTAAATTTTTTAATGGCAAGGGATTCACAGATTTTGAAAAAATTTCCTCTTTTACTGCAGCTTTTCATATCAAAATAGATGTCATCAAACAAATCTTCTAAGTATCTATCAAAACATGAAGCAATTTTTTTTGCACAGTTATTAGCTGTGTGACATGTGTCACCATCAATATCTAATAAGTGGAGTGCTTTGTTTGATCGTAGTCTGGTTTCAACACCCTTTTTTTTTCCACGCATGGTGTTACATGAGTCCATTAATACACTAATTAAGTTTGCCAATGGAATATTATTATCTTCAATAGTATTAACAACTGCTTTAAAAACAGCTTCTGAATTGCAAGATTCCATCTTTAGAGATGCAAAATGATGAACTACAACTTCATTTTGATTGTTGTCATAAAACTGCACCAATATTGCCAATATACTTTCTTGAGCATTGCTAGTACTTTCATCCAAATTTAGAGAAAATGGAGTCTCCTTTAAAGTTTTAATGATATTTTCCTTAATAGTTTTTGCGAGCCCATGTTTCATCTTATAACATGCAGTAGTCCTGGACATTTCCAACGAGTTTAGTGCCATCTGATCGCGGCTCAACTGTTTGCAGAGTTCAATTAAATTGAGAGCTACATTGAAAGAAAGACAATTCTCGGTGATAAACGAAGTTATTAATACCTCTTGGCGTGCTTTTCTTGTCACTATATCCAATGGCCGAGCATCAGTCTCCAGTAAGTCATCAGTATTTTTTGAATTAGCATAATTACTTAAAGTCATTGAATGTCTAATGCACTTTGAATATTTTATGTGCGTCACAGTTTTAGAATGATTTGTGAAAGCCTTGAATCTTTCCCCACCATACTTCAGCAGTGAGTTACAAAAAACACAATATGCTTGTCCAGCAACATTTATTTTCTTGCGCCATGTGCCGATGGTATCCCCATTACCATCTCTCCGTTCAATCCAATTCCACCTAAATGCATTCCGGACACCTTCTTCTAATTGTATAATATCACTATTTATATTGAGAAATTTCATAGTGAAATTCTCTTGCGTACATAAATAAAAAAATATTTCAATAAACGAAACGAAAAATTTACACGTGCATCAATAAATGAAACGAAAATTTTACACAGCGGAGAAAAAAAAGTTGAGAAGCTATCAATGACAAATAGCTAATACGGTGAAAAATCCCCCTTCTCTACTTATTGGTGCCACGCCAGGAGAGATAAGACCTTTGAACCCAGAGTCACGTGATCGCACATCTGGTCGAACGAAGTCTCTCCCTTTTTTTTCTGCCGCACCTACTTGCCGAAAAGAATCCAGAAGAGAATGTTCGAGAACCGGGGGAATGAGTCATAACTCGCAATAAGGAAAGAACAAAAAAGAAGTTTTTTCCCCCTTTTCACGCATTATCACTGCCTTTGGAGAAAGAAAGGAAAAGTTTTCACCACACACACACTGACCTTGCGTTTTCTGCTTTCAAAGCAAAGAAAATTACCCAGATCAAAATAAATAATTCATTATTATTCCTACTTCCTCTTGAACAACGATCCCCGGAATTTCCGGGTATCGAAGTTCAAAATCCCCGGAATTCCGGGATTTCCCCGGAGCACAAACACCCCTGAAGAAATGTTTAATAAAGTAAACAAATAAATATTAAGCGACGAGTCCGGATAAAAGACTTTTGACTGTATATCTTTTGGGCCTTTCAGAAAAATTATGCTCTGGAAGAACACAGAAGTGAAAACTTCCAGGATTTTTCAATGAATTGACAGAGAACTCATTTATCAAGATTTTCAGCTTTTCCAAGTGTTTGCAAGAGATACGAAACTATCAGCTAATAATTATCAACTATACTATTGAGATTTATAATTACTTTGTAATTATAATTACAAAGTAATTACGATTATATTTCACAGTTACTAAAGTAATGGTATAGATTATACAATTATTATGTAATTATAATGTAATTGCAATTACATTCTAATTGTGATTAGATATCTCAACTACAGTGTAATTATATTTAGAATTTAAACATTACAAACAATTACATTGTAACTGAAAAGGTAATTAGCCCGTAAATCTAATAACTAAGAAATAGCATAAACTAATCATAATTACAATGTAGTTACAATCTGCAATTACATTTTCCCCAAACCTGCATGAAACATCAGTTAAAACACTGGGCTGGGTTATTTGATTATGGCAAAGCATATTACACCTATGCTCATTGGAAGGGCTGCCTTCATGGATATTCTTCAAGGGAAATCAGCCAATATTTCTATTTTATACAAGGAAACTATAGCGACCTCATACAACCAAACCACTGAACTACTAGTAATAGAAATCAGGGCAAACAACCAAGATTTTTTGGCTTCAGTCATTCGGTTATTGGTTGGCTTGATTTAAAATGTAATTAGAAATTATTTATTAAGTTTAAATGAAAATACAGAAACAATTCACTTTAAGTCACATGATTTTAATTTCTTTACCTGCTTCTAAAGATAAATCTTCAGTATCAAAATTTAAATGATCTTCTAAACTAGAACTGCCACTGATATCAGAATTATCACTTTTTGCTTGAATATAATTAAAACTGATATATTTTTTATACATCCTATAAAAAGAAAAATATGGAAAGTTAAGATATGAAATCAAGCATAATTATTTAACATCACAAATAATTATTAAACAGAATTTATTTTAATAATGCTTTTTTTTAATTTTACATGTTTGCATTACAAGTAATTTTCAGAAACTAACACAAAATTATATTCATATTTGAAGTCAGAGATCTGGAATCATCAGGACTTCGGTGATTCCAGATTTTAAATCATCAGTTTAAATCTAATAAGATGAATGTAGAGATGAGAATATTTGAGCTTATTTTTTTTGTTTAGGTCAGAGAGAAGAATGCTAAGAGCCAGAGCCAATGTGACCACATCAGGCAAAAAAAAAAAAAAAAAAAAAAAAAAAAAAAAAGAGAGAGAGGAGAGAGAGGCTTTAAAATTCGGAAGACAAACTGAGCATAAAAAATTAAGGATTTCAAAATTTTTAGAATTTAAAAGAGGCATTTAACATCATTTAGCACAATTTTAGAATGTAGGGAGGTACTGGGCAGCAGAATTTATGCCCTTCTGAGATTGCACCACATAGCAAAAAGTGCTGACCTTGCCTCAATCCCCCCCCGACCACCCAAGGGTCAAAAGTGTGATTCTGGCTAACATCAATGCATTCTTATTGGCTCTTATTGGTGCAACTTTCCCAGCTAGCAAGTGCTTGAAGGTGACACATGTCAGAATCTCAGTTAGATGGAAGAAAAATTATATTTACAGCACATCTGCTTTCTTTTGCAGAAGATTAAATTCCCAGTTTCCACATTTTGTGAGGGTATATTTTTAACCCAAAAGAGGCTATTAATTTCAAAATGAAATTTTGCATCAGTTTGCTATATAAACAGCGCATCATTTTTCAAATGGCTGCCACAAAATATTATCGCCCTGTAATACTTTTAAAGAAATTAAATAATGAATAATCTGCATGCATGTATGTATTATGAAAAACGCTGGTACCTAGAGCCATCGAATTTTGGATAATGTAATCCTCCATTCGAACATGTGCGCCTAAAAGCCCAAAGTTTGAATTTTATATTTCATATTTTGTAAAATATTAATGAATTTCGATTGACAACCTCAAAAATTTGACAGCAAGCAGTGGCAAGACTGTTTGATATAAAACATTTTTATCTCCGGAACACGAGGCTGCTGCCATTCAGAAAAAATTTAAGATGCTTATCTTTCAATTTTAATTAATAAACTCAGCTCTAAGAAAGCAATAAGTTGCCACGACTGGAAATAAAATAGACTAGAAATAAAATACTTTTATTTTGTGATTTTTTGTTGAGTTTAATTTTATGTGGGAAAATTCCAAAGAGCATGATATTTAACAAATAAAGCTAATACATAAAAATTAATAATAGAAAAACAAAAAAAGAAAAATTTGTTAGCCATCTTACTAAGGAAACTGAATATTGATATAAACTGAGAAAAGCCTGAAAAAAAATATAAAATTGTAACACTGCATCAGGAATTCTAAACACATGCTGCTATGAAGCTTTTAAAAAATTTCTGATTTTGTTTTTGAATTGTATGTTATGTAAAAGTGAAGAAAACAACATTTAGTAATAAAGCTAAAAAGAAAAAAAAGGGGGGGGAGGATTAGCAGAAGTGAGTGCAAAAGTGTACTGATAGACTGACAGCTCAGGGAGAGCATGAGCAACCTTAACAAGTCCAACTGGTTGACTGTTAAAATCTTCAGATTTTCTGGCTTCTTCTTTTTTATTATTATTTTATTTATTTATTTATTGGTTGACTGGTTGCCCACATGTTGGATGTCTGGATTTCAGACTTTGTACTATATATTACTTTATTCAAGTTCATAAGCATACAAAACTAACCCCAAAGTTTATCTTTTCAAACCAATGACAAATAAATTTTGATAAAAATTAATTTAAAATAACCAGTCACTATCAACAATACACGTTTTTTTCTTTATAATCATATGCATGAAGACTGAGAACTCAAATTACAGAATTATAGAACCTGCTGTAATTTAGTTGAAATTTTTAGATGTTTATAAATAGCGATGTACATTTGCAAATATCCATAACAGCAAGCATACAGAATGGAATTGATGTAACAGTTGAAAATGAAGATACAGATAAACATTTTTGTAGAAATCAGCTACAAAAATATTATATTATAATACAAGTTGTCTCATAATTAAAAAAAGTTATACATATATCTAAAAGAAAAAAATTAAGTTTTATGGCAAAATATGTATGTAAATCATATGAGGTATCTTTTTATAAAGAAAGGTATTTTACTAGGTGCTACATAAAAATAAATATATATATATATATGGATAGGTGGATTAGTATAATAAGCAAATTACTGACACTAAAACAAATTGCACTGCATCCATGATTCCTTGTAATTTTATGTAAACTGCAGTTCAAAAGTTCTAAATACTTTATATTAGTTATACCATACTTGCTAACCAACAACATTCAAAAATCGGCAAGATTTTTTAAAAAACCGGGAGAATTTCTTCAATGAAAAAAATGCGCTTTCTATCTTATATAGAAAGAAAATATATATTTTTAATAATGAATCAACTTTAAATAGTATGTAATTAATATCTGAAAGTTCAGTTATTAATTCTTAAATGCAAATAGTACAAAAATACTGACATGCAAAGAAAGCTTTATAATTTGTACATTTTAATAGAAAAATACTATTTTAATCAGTTTTTGTACAAATGCTATGAACAGTGGCAGAATTTGCTTTCCTTAAGAATGAAATTTTATAATTTTGTTCATAGCAATTGCCACATAGGCCTACTGTTGTTAATACTTTTTTTAACCTAATAAATCATTACTAATATTGGATGTAAATTTAGTCCCTGTAGTAACAGTACTGATAATCCTCTCACACTTTGCATTATTATGCGGAATTGTCAGGATGGCAAACATTATTTTAGTAATTCATCACACTTTAAAATTCATTCAGTAACTTTCAGTGGCGTCAAACCATACTGGTTTTAAAATTTATTCAAGCTTTCTAATTGTAAACAGCAAAACTGTGACTGCAATTTATCAGTTGCAACATCATCATCTTTCAAATCTAAATGAAGTAAAACTGGAAATCTATTTAAAAAATATCTTACATCAGAAAAGATGCATTTACTAGAGAAGAAACATCTGTAACTTTCGCATGTCAAATCACTTCATCGTTGATTGGAAATTTATGTAGTACATGAATACATATACGGCAGACGTACCTTCTAACAAGAAAATAAAACTTTTTTTTGTCTTCTAGTGAAAGTTCTTTCACTACTGTGTTAGCTGCAATCCTTATTACCAAATCTTCAACTTCCTTCTGATTTTCCATTTTACCATAAATCACATGATATATAGAATTAGAAGACAAAACAAAACTTGGTTTTACAAATTTTGATTAAATATCTTTAAATGGATCACTAAGCATTGATTGCAAAATATGAATTAATGAAATACTGCACTGTAGAACTGCATTAAGAACATCAAATTATGACAAAATTGAGGGTACAAAAAAGCAAAAAGCTTTGTTAAGGTCCAAAGACAAAAACAGAAATATTCACTATCACAAGATAAACTTACAACAATCAAAAAAATGTTTAACTTATCGAGCAATTCCCCCCCTTCTTTTTTTTCCTTCTAATTTTCAGAACTTTATATTAACTTCATGCTTATATTTTGTAGCATTAATTGGAAAACTGCCAATTAAATTCCTCATAAGTGCAGAAATTATTTAATTTTTCTCACACTTATTTTTAACAGTGAAGTAGTAACTACATCTACAAAGACCCAGATTTGGACTTGATAAAGGCCTAAGCTATTTGAGATATGGGGCCCTTTATAAGTCTGTTATAATATATTTTAATACTATTTGTATAACATTTTAATTTTTGGGAGGCCTCCAACAAAGTGAGGGCCCTAAGCTACAGCTTGTGTAGCTTATACATAAATCCAGTTCTGCATCTCCAGTTTATTTAAGGTATTGTCTAACTTTCAGTAGTCTTTTATCTTAATTCCAGAAGTATTTACTTCTTCCTTAAAAAATGTAATAACTGAGTTCTACTGATCAAGGATTATAGACAAACATTTCTCTATACATAACCAGCATGTACAAACATGTTTCAAAATTTTTCTTATTTCAGTATTATGCAGCTGTTCTAGTTATTTCAATTTCTCCTTCCTTTTAGAACTCTTTTGAAGATAATAATAAATATCTACAATTCATTCATCCACACTTATTAGTAATAAGCTACCCCATTTTCAGTTGCTAAATTCAAGTGGTGACATGTGTAACTCACAATTTGCAAATTTGAATATATATATATATATATAGAAACAATAAAATTTTCAAAATACCTGAAAATTGTAACTACATGATACGAATGAAGTAAATAATAATGCTTGTTAAAGAATGACAATTAAGTTTTGCTCAGTATCATAAATTATGCAGACGAAAGAGAAACCTACCTCCAAATGCCAACTTCCACAGCTTCTGTTATAAGGCTTTTCAAATCTGCACCAACATAACCTGGAGTACGATGAGCAAGCCAATGAAAGTCAAAATCAGGAGAAAGTTTTAATTTCTTGCACAGTACTTGCAAAATTCTAGAATTTTTATTAATATCATTATATAAATTAAATAAATACATAAGCTTTGCGGTTAAAAATAGTAATGCCTTTAAAGAATGATAATTCCAAAATAGAATGCAATAAATCTCTCATTAACAGCCTTGAATTTGGCAGATGCGACATAATAATACATCAGTAAGATGTGGAAGTATTAAAGCATCACAGCTTTCAAATTCAAAGAAAGAAAGCCAAGTATCCAAAACAAGTTTAGGAACACACTCTCTTAACACATATATAAAATATAATGCTAAGACTACATTCCAAGAAGAAAATACAATCAATCTTTATAATTAGCTGATGATGTACCTAAGAAAAATTTTGACACCTTTATGAACAATACCAATAACAAGAAATTTCTAAAAGACGCTCTATAAATAATAAATATATACACATAAATTCTCATACCTTACATTTCAATCATTTAGTTTGAACAGATGACCTTCTCATTAACCCACAAGTGTGCGCGCTGGGTCCAATGGACTCGCCCAATTAAAAAAATTTTTCTGAAAACGCCCGTATTTTACTCAGGTGATTGTGGTTCAGTGTAGTCTCCTTCAAGATCATCCCCTTTATGTTTTCGAAGTCTTTTGCCGGAAATTTGATTCAAAATTTTGTTTTGATCGGATCGGGTCTTTCAGTTCCTGCATGGCTATTCGCATTGCTGGAACGTTCATGAAAAGTTCGTCATATTTGTTTTGTTACATCTTCGAACACATCATTTAATTCTGTTTCATCTTTACAATCATTATTACTATGATCCATAAATAGATAATTATCTTCTTTTTCATCTAGACTGTTTGATATACTGCACTTTTTACTTCCTTGTACGAAGTAAAAAGGATATTAATCGTGAAAGTTCAAGCAGCATATTAACGAAATATCCATTGACAACTTTCAAAGCAATTAATGATGTTTTGCGTGATATCTGTACGAAGGAAAAAATAAAATGCTCTTTTCTCCAAAAAAATTATAAAACCTGCTTTAAAAAATTAATTCTGAAGAGAATTTTTCGGGCGTCTGTACGAACGTATGTATGTACGTACGTATCTCGCATAACTCAAAAACGAGTAGCCTCAGAACGTTGAATTTTGTATATGACTACTATAACATGTAGATGTGCACCTCGTATTTTGGTTGCAACGGCTGCGCAAACGTATTATAAATATTTATATATATATCCACTCTGTTACCGGCTCAGTGATCTCAGTTTCTCGACTCTTAATGTCTGTAAATTGTACATTTTTTGCTTTAAAAATGATTGAATTATGTGTTCTTATCTTCCATAAGGTTTTTATGCCTTTAGTAAATCTGTATGCAATATTTTTAGAATTATCAACAATTTTAAAGTTGTTTAAGTGCTGCTAAACCTAGTAATTTTTTTGATGGCGGCCATTGCTTGTTTACAATTGAAACAGCAGAGTAGTGGATTTGTTGCCAATCTAGATAAACGCAGCTTCGCAACAACAAAAATAACGCCTTCATTTATTATTGTGAATTAAATCATGCTTAATCCTTTCTGAAATTTTTTCGAGGAAATAAGTGTTTAAGATTTACTTCGTAATTTTTAATACAGATATTTTGAGTTTTTATGTATTTTTGCCTTGTCACGAAGTGAGAACTGAATTAATTGAATGAGAAATACTCAATCATCTGTGAAAAACTGTTCCTTTTTTGTTTTGTTTGCTTAATTTCTTTTATACATCGTTCTAGCTATATTAAAGTATTTGAATAGAACATGTGGCAATGATTAGATAATTCTTTAAATGATATAAATTTTGTGCATTCTGAGTTATAACATGAACGAAATATAATACTGTTTAGTGAATCTAGCGCCAAAGTGTCGCTATTGTAAACAAATAGAGTGAATTTCAAAGAAGGAAAAATGCGTATAATTTAATATTTCGTACAAGGAAGTCCTGTGGCGTATACATCAGATTTTTTAACCCGCGAGCACATACGCTGGGTCCAAATGGACCCACCTGATTAAAAAAACCTTTCTGAAAACATCCCCATTTTTCCCAAATGGTTGTAATTCAGTGTAGTCTCCTCCAAGGCTTCCTTTTTATGTTTTCGAAGTTTTTAGCTGGAAATTTTATTCAAAGTTTTCTTTTAATCGGGTCTTTCAGACCCAATGTGCCTATTCACATTGGTGTAAGGTAGTTCATTTGGGGCAGCACAGAAAACTCCAAACATGCCGCATAATTTATCCTCCAAGGAAGAAATGTTACGTTTGCAAAAATTATTTGATGTATCAACTGTTGAAGGCTCCATTGAAGAAACTGATGATGAAAGTTATAATGGATTTTTTAGTTCCCATGACACTGATTCAGAAATTGAGATGCATTCTGAGAACGAAAATGAGAATGACATTTATTGCTTTATTGGAAAAGACAAAAAAATGCAATGGTAAAAAGAAAGTCTAAAGCTGACGTTAGAACTTCTGCTCATAATATTGTTACTTAATTGCCTAGAAACTTCGTTAAAATAAAATACAAACGGACTCCAAATGAATCGTGGGAACTTTTACTAAGTGAACAAATGTTGCTGATATTACATAGAGTTATACAAATTAGTTACATTATTACATATATTATATATATTACATTATTACACATAGTTATACAAATATTTATATTGCATCTATTTCCGACAGCTTTCAAAGAGAGAGAGAGATGCTCATCATACAATTGAAATTCTTGCTTTTATAGGTCTTTTATATTTTTGTGCTATAAGTCATCTCATGTAAATGTGAGGGATCTGGGGGCAATAGACGGAACCGACTTGCAAATTTTTCACAAAACTATGTCCTACAAACAAATTCTTTTTTTTTAATCAAGGATGACATAGGAACTTGCATCGTCAAGAAAGAATCAGACAGACTTGCACCTATAAGAGAGTTTTTCGAAGATTTTGTGAAAAACTGCCAGAAATATTACACTGTCGGTGAGTTCATAACACTTGATGAAAAACTTGAAACTTTCCTAGGAAGGTGTCCTTTCAAGCAGTATATTCCTAATAAACCTTAATAATAATTCCTTAATAACCTGAATAATATAATCAATTCCTAATAAATTCTATATTAATATAATACGTTTTTTTATTCCTTTAAACAATTTCATTTCATAAAAGATATTATAGAAATTAATATTAAATTTTAATTTTTTAATCTGCATATTTTTTATGTTTAATCACAAAATTTTGGCATAAATGTAACACTTTTACCTGTAGAGTAACAGTTTTTTCTTCAAAAAACACGAGCCGGGTCTTCTGGACACAGGGCACACGCTCGTAACTCCGAAGAGAGCGCGCGCTCCCGGGTTAAAAAATAAATTCCAAAATATCAAGAAAGTAAAGGCCAAATTTTCAGATTTAAGAAAGAGAAAAAAATTTCCGTTCTAACAAATAAATAATTAATAGGTATATTTTTGTACATCTGCATATGAATACGCAGATGATTAAAAATTTAACAAATTCATAATTTGTAATGTGCCTTATATTATAATTTATAATAAGTGCATGGAAATAAGATGCTTATATAACATCCTATTAAAAAATTAAATTCATACTCCAGTTTATACTAGAAAAAAGCACTGTCTTTAACCCTCTGAGTGGCACAAGAATTTAAATGTCATAAAGACCTTTATTTATTGGCGGAATTTGTATAATTGCTTAGTCTCCAGTTTCATAAACTTACGTTCATTAAGAGTTATATTGTTAAAGAAAGTTGGTTTATGTTTGGTTTATTGAGATAACGGTAAAGCACACTAGGGCTATCTGCCTAAGGGAAGGAAGGACTTTCTAAGGGAAACTGGTTCTTATACACGTTACACATGAGGAAAACCACGAAAACGCCCATACAGCCACCCCATTTGCAGGATTTGAACCTCAGACAGAACTAAAAGTGTTCAGCGACTTAACCGCGTTGCCGCTGGTTGGCATCTTATTTCCATGCATCTTATTTTCATCTTATTCCATAAGAAAGAAATATCTAAATTACAGTACAAAGTCTTTAATTTGGACGTCCATAATCAGGACCTCAAAGCTACAAACTTTCTGCGCATGCGCATAATGTTGGCTTTAGTTTTTCCTTCTGCAAATTTTGATCGGAGGTCAATCGGCAGTAAGCTAATGTGGTTGCCGCTGGCTGGCCGATGACGGCAAGATCGGCGGGTTGGCCGAATATTATATGTGCGCTGGTATCGGCGAATGTCTTGTTATTATGAGTTAGCATAATGCAAGTATTCTTTCACTCAAATTATTTTAAATGTAAAGGCTACAGTGTTAGCTTATTTTATTTTAATTTACGGAATAAAGCATGAATTTTATTTAGATTAGTCTTAGTTTTATTTAAGAGAAGCAAAATATGCTTTGCCTTTGTCGCCACTGCCAACAGGGTTATGGGCCCAGCGCCAACAGCTAATCAATCATCCAGTTCAACTCAGCATTGAAGGAATGTAGGTGAAGAGGGCCATTATCCACGAAAAGAATCTGACCTGTCTTAGAAGTTTGTTCAACTTGTTGTGCTCACACTTAATTGAAGATGTCATTACTACCTGAAGGTTTTGAGCTGTTAAACCATGACAACTGGGATCGATGGAAAGTCGATATGATAATGCTGTTACTGGATAGAAACTGTTGGAGCTTCATAGAGGACAAAGAAGAAGAATTAGATAAAAGTGCAACAAGGCGTGAAAAGCAAGAATTCGCGTTGAGAGAGAATAGAGCCTTCTCTACATTATATTATGGAATTAAAACTGAGTTCAGACCGCTGATACAAGAATGTTCAAGTGGTAAAGAAGCATGGGAACTTCTACAGAAGCAATTTGAACTCAAAACAAGAGCAAGGATAATTCAGTTACTGGATTAATTTTTTAGTATTAGATATACCCCAAATGAAGAAATAGGATTATTCATCACAAGGATAAGAAAGACTGCTGGTTGGCTGAAGTTGGCTGAAGCTGGACACAACTTGGCAG